TAATTAGGTTGAAAACAGTAGGGGTTAAATGTGCTTTGATAACAATTATAGTCTGAAAAGAAATACCTGGGTTTACCTGTATTTTACCCATGTAGCATGGACAGGAAGAAAAATACTTTAATGTACAAGAGTATTTTTGGAAAAAGTGAATTGATTAAAAATTTTATTTCATATCAATTATAATGCTAAAGAAAACGACATTTCTTGAAAAACACTCTATTTAAATCTGATATTTCAGAAATTGATACCGATTGCATTCATGACATATTATTTAGTATAAATTTCTATTTTATTATAAATGTAAATAAATAAATGAAAACTTGTAAAGCGACTTTCTTAATGACAAAATACAAAATTAAAACCCGTGGATCTTGGATATATTAAACACACGGACATTTGAAACCTCAATACAGTTCTTCTCGTTATCTTACAAACAAATAAGAAATAATATTTTAAAAAAAATAATGATTAAAAAACATAAACGAATAAGTGTCGTGTTCATATCACATAAATTGGTAGAATACTTTCATTTTATGGACCTAACGATAATAAAATGCAGTCAAAAACAGTGTTTGATATATCTTTTTAATAAAGCATGTTGCTTTGAAAATTCTAAATTTAATAACTCTCTTCGTTAGGACATTAATGTTTTATTATACTTTAAAATTTAATTGCATTAATGAAAAAAAAATATTTCAATACCTGTAAATTGCACGGATGCCAAACTGTGCAAATAAAAGATAAATGAAAAAAACCCATTAAATTCAGAAAAAAACGAAGAAAATCAATAAAATAATGTTGTTTCTTTAATTTCATACAAGTAATTTTGTCTTTCTCTTTATTTAGTTACATGTATTCTATTTTTCTTTGTTTATTTTTATTCCAAGTTCGATTTAAAACAAATTAACCAGGGAATCTATTTAATTAATTTATCAAAGAGTACAATAGAACATGAAAAATAATGTTACTTTGTTTACAACAATGAATGATCCTTATAAGGAAAATAATAAGTTGTGGCATGTGTTGTCGTATTTTGTGAAAAAGTCAAAGAATATTAGCTATATATTAGTCACTTTGTAACGTACATTTAAATATTTGTTAGCGCTATCTACATGTGAATGCAATAATCAAGCATGAATTAGTCTGCTGTTAAACGTAGTGCGTTCTTTAATTATTCCATAAATAGTAGAGGGCTCATATAAAACAAGTCTCCATTCTTTATATACCGGGAACTATAAAGGTCAGAGTCATTTCAAAAGGTCAGAAGTCAAATATTTTTAAGACACCTTCTGAATTTTCTTTATTATTTTGCCATTGGAATCCTTTTAATCGTCAAACTACACCTAACAAAAAAATACTATAGTTAATAATACTATATAAATATATAGTTATATATAAATAATAATAATAATAATAATAAATAACTATATAAATAATATAGTTAATACTATAGTTACTATAGTTAACTATAGTTATAACTTTGACACTTTGAAAAACTTTGGCGAAAACTTTGACACTTTGAAAAACTTTGGCGAAAACTTTGACACTTTGAAAAACTTTGGCGAAAACTTTGACACTTTGAAAAACTTTGACGAAAACTTTGACACTTTGAAAAACTTTGACGAAAACATTGACACTTTGAAAAACTTTGGCGAAAACTTTGACACTTTGAAAAACTTTGGCGAAAACTTTGACACTTTGAAAAACTTTGGCATAAACTTTGACGCTTTGAAAAACTTTGGCGAAAACTTTGACACTTTGAAAAATTTTGGCGAAAACTTTGACACTTTGAAAAACTTTGGCGAAAACTTTGATACTTCGAAAAACTTTATCAAAAACTTTGATACTTTGAAAAACTTTATCGAAATTTTGGATACTTCGAAAATCTTATTCGAAAACTTGGATACTTTGAAAAACTTTATCGAAAACTGGGATGCTTTTAAACTTTGAAAAAGTTTATTGAAAACTTTGACACTTTAAAATACTTTATCAAAACTTTTATTCTACGAAAAACTTTATCCAAAACTTTTACACTTTGAAAAACATTATCGAGTCTCTGATACTTTGTAAAACTTAATCGAAAACCTGGATACTTTGAAAAACTTTATCATAGAAAATTTAAAAAACTTTATCGAAAACTTGGATACTTTAACACATAGAAAAACTTAATTGCCAACTTTGACACTTTAAAAAACTTTATCAAAAACTTTGAAAAATTAAAAAACTTTATCGAAAACTTGGGATGCTTTGAAAAACTTTATGGAAAAGTTGGATACTTTGAAAAACTTTATCGAAAATTCTGATACTTTGAAGAACTTTGACACTTATAAATCTTTGGCGAAAACTTTGACACTTTGAAAAACTTTGGTGAAAACTTTGACACTTTGAAAAACTTTGGCGAAAACTTTGACACTTTGAAAAACTGTGGCGAAAACTTTGACACTTTGTAAAACTTTGGCGAAAACTTTGACACTTTGAAAAACTTTGGCGAAAACTTTGACACTTTAGAAAACTTTGACGAAAACTTTGACAATTTGAAAAACTTTGACGAAAACATTGACACTTTGAAAAACTTTGGCGAAAACTTTGACACTTTGAAAAACTTTGACGAAAACTTTGACACTTTGAAAAACTTTGGCGAAAACTTTGACACTTTGAAAAACTTTGACGAAAACTTTGACACTTTGATTTACTATAAATAACTATAATTAACTATAGTTAACTATAGTATTTTTTTGTTAGGGACCCTTTAAAAATGGTTCTTTAATTTTTGCACATATCAATCCCATTTGGACAATCTGTTGAAATTTTGAATCATACATTTTTTTTAGAAAATTTTATTAAGTGTAGGATATTTACATGTATAATTATACTAATGTAAAATTTCGACACTACCTGTATGTATGTTTTTTATGTAATGCTTTGTTCAAATTCTCCAGTATCAATAAAACTAACTGAATTTAAATAACAAAAATCGTATTTTTATGAAGACCTTTACACAAAGTTGCAAAAGATCAATTGATAATTAAAAAATATGGTTCATTCTCAAGTCGGAGGTCCCGATTTCACAAAATTCTGACGGGGTCTGCTGTGCCAAATTTCAAACTTTGTGGAAAAAATGCCAGGATGAATTTTTTCATATCAGATCATTTTTCAAAACATTAGAAATCTGCAGAATTTGGACAACATAGTAAGTTGGAATTTTTAGTTACTAAGAACCTTTATCATGCAGGAACACATAGGACTGCGTTAATGAAAATCTATTTTCTAGAACAGTCGCTAAACCTTCCAACAGCGATTCCACGTTTGTCCCACAGCAGGCATTTTATTTGTAAAAAGCAGTCCCCCACAAAACAAATCCCAAAGAAGTGCATTCTGGGAGTGCTTGGGTTTCAGGTTAGGTTAGATAATTATTTAGATGCTACGTATTGTAGTAAATGCCGTACATTATGCCATAATTACAGGTACGGTTATATCATAGCAGCTGAATAACCAAGACTTTCGATCACTTAAACTGTCTTAATTAATTTTATTTTATCCACATGGGACAAATTATGGGAACTTGGGACAAGAATAAGGATTTATAAAATGTATTATTCTATTTAGGAAATATACTAAACGCGTACGCATTGATATCTTTTATTTTAAGTTTTATGCACATTGTTTGATTACACTACAGAGATATAATATATTATACTCATTCCATTTTTTTACTCTTTTCTCTTAAAAACAAGTTCTTTTGAACTTTCGCTTGTGGCAGGGATCTAGCAGAGCAAATTATATAGAAAATGAACAGTAAATATTGGACATGCAAAGTTTATATATATCGTTTATCTATGATCTTAGTTAAGTCTTTCTGTTCAAGATATTGAGAACAAAACGACGTCTATGCTTTAGTCATTCGAACTTATGGAATACATGACAATAAATTTTTTGATAGGTGTATTTTATCTTATTATACGTCTTTTTTTTCAAATAGCCACCCATCGATGAATTTACTCCTCAATACAAAGATGTTCGTGTTTCCGTTTTGAACAGGATCCGAATTTTTGCAACAGAGTGTTAAACAATCACAAATTGGTATTAAAATACGGTGTTGATATTTTCACATAAAAGAAAAACACAGAAACATGGTATCATTAAGTATGAAGAGTTTTACTTTCGGATTTCTGTATCCATTAAACATGCAAAATGATGCTCAAGCATTAGTAGTATTGAACATGTTGAATGTAAAACACAAAAGATTTCGATTGTTAATTGAAATTTTACATCATAAATAGTGTCAACGAAAATGTACTTCCTAATTCCAAAAAAATAAGAGTATTAATCAGACCAGAAGAACTTAAACAATTTATGCAAATATAATTATTCCGTACAAACACCCCAAAATTGTTATAACTCGTTAAACACTCGTTATTACATGTACGTGTAAGTTATTTCGTAAAATCAGGTTATTATATTTCGTTATTAAGGTATATTAAATCTCTAACGAGAGGATTTATTCGTTATAACGAGAGGTTAAAATCTTTTACATCGAGATTATTTTTTCGCTATCATGAAATAACGAACTCGTAATAACGAGATACTCGATCACTCATCATAACAAGATACTCGTTGTAATGAATAAAAAACTGTTGAAAAAATTATTTTGACAAAATGACCCCAATTATATCCGGCTTTCAATACAACTAATCAAAAAAGCAATGAAGAAAAATTGACTTTTTTTACTGTTAAAAGGATTAAATAAGAAAGTGCTTGACCTTGCAATAATACAAAGAGGATATGTTTGGCAACCAGCATTATCTGGGGAAAAATACTTAAGTAATAAATATGTACTTTCCTCAGAAATTGGGGTCATTCCCATAATGTTTTAACAGAGGTTGAAGATTTCTTTTTTAACCTTAAATCCAACAATAAAGATTATTTTTTTACAAATATGATGGTATTTATAATTTGAGATTTTTTAAGAGACTAGAGAATGAAGAAGAAACTGAACTTACCGATGCTGAACCACAAAAACAGGACTCCCAGAGAACAGATACAAACTGAGATAGAATTACCAATCTCCATTATAGAATAAGGTTTTTAGTCGTTTTTCTTTATCATACTATGCCTTTTGAACAGGATAGCCGGCAAGAAAGTGCGTGTCCTACTTTCCTTTTCCGATAAAGCTTTTATACGGATGTTTGATAATTCATGTTCATTCAAGCTCTTGAAACGGACTTATTAACACTATACAGAGAGTGAGAGAAAACTAACTTTACTGATATTTAACCACTCAAAATAAAAACTAACAACAATCATGGCTGAAGATTATGGTATGTGTATTTTTCTGATAATTATATGCAATTTTTTTTTCCTTTATTGGTGGATTTTATAAGAAATAAAAAGTCAAAAAATGATTTTTTTTAAAAATTCAACAAGAAAAGAGAATTTCATTGGTCTTCTTGATTTAAAGAAACGAATATAAAAAAAATAAAGAACAGTTTTCAGTCTGAAAAATTCTATTGGCAACACAATTGTTGACCTTATATGTATCCTGTATGTAGAGGAGTGGCACCTTTTTTTCAAATATGGGACTTGCATTTTTTGGCCTTTTTAATAGAATAATAGGTATGTCATTGACGAAATGAAACAGCTTATATGGAAATATTTTTTTCAATAAATCAGCAGAACTTATTCCTTATTTTACAAATAATGAGATAATGATATCGAGACTCTATATCGCAATGATTAGGGTTTTATCAAAAACAGAATTGTTACTTTAAACTCTATTTGAGATTATAAAAAAATCCAAGACATTCGATATTTTTATGGATACCTTCTCATGCTGAAGACCATATAAGATGATTACTCATAATAAATTTTGATTTATTTTCAAAATCAGGTGAGAAGAGAATTTCCGGACGACCTGACTTCTCCTTTCTCATCAAATGTCCAATTTGTCATGATACTTTAAGGAATCCAAAAATACTATCTTGTTTCCACCATTTCTGCGCTGAATGCATAGAAAAACATCACACTGAAACACAAGAAGGAAATCAGGCTTTGTGTCCACTTTGTCGGCGACCGTTTGTTCTCGACTTAAGTGGAGCAAACTCTTTACCAACCTGTCCATATGCTCAACAAGTGTTAGACGAAATCGAAAAACGAAATCTTGAAGAAGAGGAAAGAAGGAAGTGTGTCAGATTGTGTACTGCAAATATGTTATGCAAAGAAAATTTACAAACAATCGCAGTTTTTAATTGTCCAACTTGTCAGCTTGATCTTTGTGAAAATTGTGAAGAAGCCCATTCAAAGTTTGCAAAAACACATGCAATGATATCTCTCCAAAAAACAGAGGCGGAACCAGATATGATAGCAAAAATTCTTTCTGAAAAATCTCCCATAACATGTAATGTTCATTCCGAGTTTAATTTGAAATTTTTTTGCGAGAACTGCGATTTACCTATTTGTCAGGAATGCGAGTTAGACCATGATGGTCATAAAATAGCAACGCTGAGAGAAATAGAGGAACAAACTAAAAATAAAAGAGAAATAATAAAGACAAGAAAGGAAGAATTAGAGAAATTAAAAGGAGATCTTAATGCCTTTTTGATAATGCTTCAAACTGGAGAGGACAAGGCACAACGAGAAATACAAGAATATTACAATGGCTGGATAAAGAAAATGGAAGATCATATGCAGTGCATGTTATCCGATCTTAAAGAGAGATCATCAAAAACAGAAGAAGAAATCATTGGTCATTTAAAAGCTCTTGATAACCAAAGTATAAATGCGGCAAAAGTTTTACAGAACATAAATAAGTTAATTGCCATTGGAAATGAAACATGCACTTTGAAAACATGGAACGTATTGTACAAAAAAATTGAAAAGCTTGAACAAGACAAAGATGGAGATATATACTTGCCTGAAAAATTTGCCTATCGATTCTCAAAACCTCGTCAGGACTTTCAAATTTTTGGTAAAATAAAACAAGCAAAGGCTTACTGTGATTTTCATGGAATGTTCAAATCTGGTAAGATTTGACCAATATTAGTTTTAACATGTAGAACAAGAACTCCTATTTCAAACTTCTATTAAAAATTAATTCATTTTGGTGCAAACAAAAATCATGTACTAATGTATAGAATTCTACAACGTTTCTCCAATGGAAAAATGAAAATTCTTTTGAAACAATTAAAAGTAAATGAAACACTAGTAATCAATATATCCATAAAAAATTCGCAAAGTTGACTGGGTGAGGTTTGACTACGCGGTATATGCAAGCTCATTGTTTCATATACTGTGACTTTCAGTAAATTAAATTATATTCTTTTCATCTAGATTTTAGTCGTGCATACATTTGTATATTTTCAATATACAAATACGCAGAGGTTGAAAATGGTTTTCGAGGGGTGAAAAATTTCAATGTAACACTCAACTATAGGCAATATTTATTATATTATACTGAATGTTTAATACACGGACATATAATAGTGAACCGCACGCGCATTAATTTTGCCCAGTTGCTATATTTTGGAATGTCAACCGTCGTCAAGCAATGTTTACTGTTACTACACAGAAGGCATTCATTATTCAGCGGGTAGTACTGTTTTTAGCAAATGTTTCTCGACGAATCAGATTCAAGTAGCTTAGTTGAAAGTATTATTGACTCATAAAGCATGAGTTTTTGAAACCCATATGACAATATCAAAAACTCTCAATACCTTTAAGTCTTATCTGTCTTAACCTCGTGTCCCCTTTGCAAGTGTTTATCGCTCAAACCATAGCTTTACTGGGCATGTGTAATTAGTCCAACGACGTGTGCATCCGCCAGCAAGGGGAAGAAACATAAGGCTGACCGGCTCAAAACCTAAATAGCGCAATCGATTTTTTTTTTCAATGTTAGTGTGAATGTAGTGATTATGATAGTCTACTGTATTAATAGCGGTGTTTGTGGTAGTAAGATGCCGCTTAAACAGATGGCAGGGCAAATAACACAATCTCAACTTGGCTCTGTTTTGCGTCAACGTGATCGACACAGTTGCTTGGCAAGCATTCCAGGCACTTTACGGGTTATACGTTTTACGGGGGAAATTTACAAGGAACTGTTCAGTAACCAGTTGTTGCCTTTGCCCCAACTTAGGCATTTCAGAAACCAGACCGCATGGAACTTCTGGAAATTATTACAATATCTGCATTGAATTCATATTGTCTGTAAATATTGAAAACCAATATGTAGGTCATCAAATGGTTGAACAAGATTTGTTGACAATTTTGTCGTCATCAACGTGTATTGGTCTTTTTTGGCGTTTTCCCTACGTGACGTCGTACATTTTATGGTTTAGAAATTCTGAACACTGATTTTGGTGCAATATAACTAAAACAAGTTGCTGTCCTTTAAAAAAAGGACTACAATACGTAGACCATATGCATGTGTTTCTAAACGAAATTCAATTAACGAAGATTTTTAATTTTATTGGATTTTCATGCTGGTTCGTTCCCATTATCTACAATGATTTGCTTACTTTGACTGATACACTTTCATAGCAAAATTGTTAAATCTTATCTCCGATTGGCATAATTAGTTTTGTAATTTTAAAATTCAGGCTATTTTCATACACATAACCCATAATGTTTCGGACTAAATACATAACTATACCAAAATATTCTCGATATAATGGGACGAAATCTAACATTCGAAAATTAGATCTAATGGTACACGTGTAGCACAGCTCTGTAATACGAAGGTTTTTTTTTTTTCGGACATCGCCCCCTCCCTTACATGGAAAACCGTTGCTACAGGCTTGTATCAAGCTGTATTTGAATTGATTTCCTGTATACATATCTGTATATCTTAACTCTGAACACGAGTCTTTCTATCAAAGGTCGGAAAGCTAGTCGGAAAGGCCCGAGAAGGTGCGATTGGTGTTGCGGAGTCAGCCGAGGATTGCCGATTGGAACTCTCTAGAAATTTCACACATGCGTAGCCCGGCGTATGCCCAGGGCATCCTGATTAACCTCGCTTATATATTTACTGCGTGGACCCTGAATAATCGTCTGATCAATTTTTGTAATTTTAGGTCATGCAGTCAAAAAACATGAAAATTATGCTACCCTGCGTTTTTTTCCTTTCAATTTATTCAAAACTGAAAGCAAGTGTTTTATTATCAAACTAACCCCGTCATTCAATAAAGTGAGACTAGTAAAAAATGCTGTCCAACCTTAAATTATAGCACCAATATATTGACCTCTATTATCTAGTTTAATTTTCCGGTAGTGATTTAATTTCCAAAAGCATATTTTTGATGAATTTTTGTAAAATTGTCCTATAATACAGTTTTTCGGATAGATTGTTTGAAATTTCTAACAGTACTTTGCTTAATATTTAGCTGTTTATTTCTTTTCCAGTTGCTTGCACGTCGGTAGATAAGGAAGAAGATCATGGGGACAGGAATGTGGAAAGACATTTGGGTATTTTTTTTATTCAATCATTTTTTTTCTTATCTGTTACTTACATTACGTTTCACTTTTGAATCATGCCATAACACTTGCACCATTAAAACATTTGAATAGAATTTCAATATCAAGTTCTTGTTTATTAAACCCTTATAAGCTTTAAAACACCGAATATTCTTTAAATCACCAAATTATGTTAAAGTACACTTATAAACCGAGCAGTTTCATACACAGATATAGTACCTCTAAATAAAATCTATACTTAAATCATACTTTTGTGCAAAGTCCCAGTCCCTATTCATATAATGATATGGAGATAACAAACAGTATTCAATTTCAAAGTCCATAAAACAACACAAAATAAGAGCAGAACAAACACGGACCCCCAAAACATCGGAGATGGGATCAGGTGCCATGGAGAAGTGAGCATCCCATGCCGACCGGTCACACTCACCGTGTGCTCCTTGTTATGATCAGGAAATAACGGGGAAATCCGTCGTCAATTTTAGTATATTAGTAATGGACTAGCAATTGGTATGAAAAACGTCAGTCCCCGTTTGACTCAATGATAAATTGTATTTGCTGACAAAGTCATTGTATACACCATAGAACTTACGAAATGATGACTTTAAACGAGACTGCTGATATTCTTGTTTCATTGACCTGCTTGTCAATAATTTACATCGTTTTAGAAATTGTACGTAGAGCATGCGCTTGCGTATCGAATCAACTGAGATATATATATATACTCCGTTTGCAGGTGATGAAGGTATATTGCTGCATAAGTAAGGGAAGTTGACGATAGAAAAGTTAAAGTCATCACGTTTATCATATAGCTTGATTGGTAGATTACCATTAGTGTCTTTTTCAAGTAAAATATCCAAATGTGAAACAGAAGTGTCGGACTCTGTGATATCTTTTATCTCAAGCTCACCAGGATAAATCGTATCGACGTAAGAATGGAAATTACCATTTTTAATTGAAAATACGTCGTCGCTATATATCTACATGTCGAGTTGAAGGCCACAGCAAGTGTTTTTTTTTTCTTTTTACGCATAAGATTTTGCAAAAATTTTGCTTCATATGAATTCAAAAATAAGTCTGCTTATAACGGAGCGCAATTTGTACCCATGGGAATTCCAATAGATAGTAGTTTTAGTTTTTGTCCAACTCAATTAAATTCATTTCTGCTAAGTTTGCATGGCTTATTTCATTTTAGCTTTACAATGTTATTTGAAACTTTCTTCTCTTTGTGCTATTAAAATCCTGGCAGTTGTGCAAAATTGTACCATAAAAAAATATCCCAGATAATTCAATTTAAGCCGCTATGAGAATTATTAAATTTTACACCGTCGAACAAACCCGCATTACCCAACGCAGTCTTCGGATATGCGCCTTTTTTGCACGCAGTACAGGTGAGGTGCGCAATGGAAATATCGACTAAATTTTGTATTTAAAAATGTATTCGTAATCAGGATGGCGATTATTTTTAGTACATTATTTATATCGGATAATTGTAATTATGATGAGTAACTACATATCGAGGACGATTATATTTTATATTTAGACTAGTCATGTGATACTGCAGTCACGCGATTTTAGCACATTGACTTGCAGTATTGATGTTACATATAAATATCACTAGTGCAAGGGCATAACCAAGTTAATTTTCCAGGTTTAGTATATAAATATTTTCAACACACATTGTTGTTTCAAAAAAGTGCTGCGATCCTGTCTAAATTCTGCAATTTCATTGATAAAGTTATACTTGTATGACTGAATGCTATATTTTTTGCTGGAAAGCGGCATGAAATATTGATATAATTAAATTGTTTTTAGGATTTCATCAGGATCACAGCACTTCTCAGATACCTTAATAGTTCTAGAGTTGAAATGTAAAAGCTTACTTTTATCCATAGAGTGTATGCCCTTGCACTAGTTCGATTTATTAAGACCCCCCAAGTTACCCTCCGATGTACTTGCATACAAATATACGGCAGTGTCAATAAAATACGTAATGTACAGAAAATATATAAATAAAATAGTGAAGAAGACATTAAATTCAAGTTATTGGCCCATAGAATATCTGTAAATAATATTTTATTTAATTAGAGAATACAAATTTTGTTGAGAAAATATTACTTGATCTGTCTCTCATTGCATACAAACTACGTCACGTTGTAAGAAATGACGTCATATTGACAAGTGTATTGCGATCAGTGACTTGTTTATAACTTGTTATGTGGGATTTAACCAACGACAAAACAGCACCCTTTAGTAAGTTTTTATGTTGTTTGATAATTTCTTACTGGTTAAATTAGCAGATAAACTCAATGTCTGGTATTTTAAAGAAATGTTGTATGACGTATATTGTGTATGATGTCATAGTCAAGATTTCCCGTACAAATTAGGCTCCGCTTCCTTTTTGTAACCTTATCTGTGCTGCGCAGACGCAATTATTATATAATTTTTCATTGCGATATCGCAACCCTTCTTGGAAGAGTTATCATACTTTTTACGGAGTTTAACCCAATCAAAATTCATTTTTTTGTGCCATGTTTGTTGGCCTGGTAGTGGGGTGGGAAAAAACACCAACCACCCTTTTTTAAGGTTTTGGTTTTGCATTATTTTGGATTATAGTCAAAATTTGTATTTTTCTTATAACTTGGTACGTTTCTTGGATTGCTGCAATTGTTTGGCCGCCTCCAAGGAATAACTCACTTATGTTATATTTTATGCATATTTGCATGTAATCTGGTATTTTCACTGCATGTAAATTTCTAGACAGTTTCAGGGAGATCACACTTGTACCTTTCACATATGCACATTCAATTAAATGACATCATCGACAAATCTGCATATCTGTGTTTGTTTTTTTACTGCTCTATCAGGCTGATATTTCTCATAGGAGGCATAACAAATGATTTATTGTATATTGTTTAATGCTGAGTCAACGCTATAAAAATAACTTAATTTTTATTTTCTTTTTTTTTCATCAGGTTCCACAGTAAATCAATTTTTAGGCACGTAGTCTGCTTTATTGAAGATAGTTTTGCATTATTAATTTACAGGTGATGAACTTTTTTCTAGAGAATGTGATAGTTTACATGCACATGTTTCTGGCTCTGAAGAAAATGTGTCATCCTTTGATGGTAAGCTAAAGGAAAAAAATCACTCAGTATTTGTTTGATGAATAAATTTCATTTGAAAAGGACTTAAAACATAAATATATTTAAATTTCTGTTGGCTTGTAATACAAATATTTCATTAGCTGATTTAAATGCCTTTTCTTCTCATGTATTGTTTCCTAGTAAATTTTTGGAACTGGATACTTGTTATTTGCACTCAATTGTTAGTTGATTCATTTATCTTTATATTTAAAAAAAAAAAAACTCACGTCTCATATTCGGTAAAAATAGCATCTTGTATTAATGTTTTTTTTTTAATTTAAAAGGCTACTATTAAAATTACTTATTACCATTCACCTGCAGATGGGAGAAACATTTTTATTTTTGTATGAAATGTAAGCGTGTGCATGTATGCGTATAAATGAGAATGCAGACAAATTGTAAAGCTCAGTATAAAACTAAATCTTTTTATTAGATTAAACTCAAAAAACTGTTACTCAAAATATTTAAAAAAAAAAAAAAAAAAAAAAAAAAAAAAAAAAAAACTGTCCGCAATATACTGTGGAAACATTTTAATTCGTGGGGTTTATGTTCGTTGGTAAGCAAATTTTTATCTCTTTTGGGGAATGTTATTTCGTGGGTTACTCGAAAATACAATGGTTGAATGGATCAGTATGCTAACAAAATAAACATTCGTGGGAATGTTAATTCGTGGGTATGGGTGACCCACGAACATCGGTCCCCCAAGAACAATGATGATTCTACAGTATTACAAATAAAGGCATACTTTGACGATCTCTACTTGACATTTTGAACAACTTTGCTTCTTTGATGTATTACAAATTTTCAGTACATTAAAATATATCAGAAAAAATCTTCCGGCCCCACTAGATTCCTTATTTGAGGGGTCAGCCCTTTTCGAGATATCATTTGAAAGAGCTCAGAATTTCAAAAAAACATTTGTTCTATATGTTTAATCAAAACAATTCTAGGTAAAACATTATCGTGGACAATGTGTTAGAAATTTTGAAATTCACCATTGGGCTATTTTCGATTCATAGCAAGCCTCGCCGCCTTAAATGACGCCTCCAATGATTTAAAACTTCTAAACCTATATTGGTTATTGTAAATATAAGTCATTTTGCTACATTGGTTTTACCGGAAGTACCGCCAATGGACTGAAATTTTTTTCACTATGACAAATTTTACCTATAAGAATGTGTCAAGAACGGCTGAAATATGCATTTTTGACTACTTCCTGCTTGATCGGAAATGATGTCACCGGACAAATTTTACGATCTCAAATGATTTTAATTGACATTTTAAAAAAACTTTGCTCCTTTGATTTATTACAAATTCTCAATACTTTTAAAGATATCAGGAAATATCTTCTGGCCCCAATAGATCCCTTATTTAAGTGATCGACCGTTTTTTGAGCATGGGAAACCTTAAACAAATCATTTTAAAATACATTGGAAGGCGGTGTATGTTAAACCGTGCTTTACAAAATCTGATTTGACACAAAATTAAAGTGTAAAAATTACATGATTCATAAAACATGATACAGAAACTGGTTATTGAATACAGTAATCTGAAGAGTTCTTTGTTCTTCATCCAGGTTTATACTGCCCAAGACGATTCACTTCCTCTCGTGTAGACCAAGAATCTCTCTGTTCAGAAAATTTTCCTGAAAATGATTCCACAGGTCTGTGAAAGATACCATGATTAATTTGAATATATGATAAATGTACAATGTTCTAAAGTCAATATGCGCCTGATAATCAGTTGATTAGAAAGAAAGCAATTTTAAATGAATGTTTTTACTTTTTAACTCAGTTATGTTTAAAATGAAACAATGAATGAAAATAATAAATTTGATTAAGAACGCCAGAATGTCGAAGTGGAGGAAGGATTATACGAGGACAATGAAGCTGCTCAAACCTTTTTGAAAGGTAATGCGTTATGTATAATTGATGATAAATTTGTGGAATTAGTGCTCATTACATGCAAAAAATAAATTGAATAGATTAATCATAACCAAGTTAATCAGTTTTATGTTATAATCCAGACTTAAAAATAAAAGAGTAGACGAAAATTTCTTATATATGCAAAGTCTTTTTTAACACATATGTTGAATTCCTGACAGATTCCTGTGCTTCGCTCTTAGATAGCAAGTCTGTATGTACTGAGAGTTTTGGAGGAGATCAGTCAACAGGTTTGGAAAGAAATTTTTATTCATTTTTTTTTGATAATTTGGTTATAATGCCGATGCCTTATGTCTGCTTGGAAATGCACTTTACCATACAATTCAAAATCCCATTTGAAAATAAGTTGCAAGTAATGAATTCCAAATTGGAAAATATATTTTAAAGAAAATTAGTGGTTAATTCTACTAAAAATGTTTTTAAAAAATTCTTCAGTTCCTCCATCGTATTTTACATACAGAAGTAATTTACATTTTGCCTTATTTATAAACTAACATGAGTCTGAATAAACACTGTTATACCCCGGTACATACGACCGGAACCGCTACAGAATTTCAGTTGGTAGAGTTATGGCAAAATGATAAAAAGGTCATGGGTTCCAACCCCGGCTGCTACTGACCTACATCAATATGAAAGATACATATAGCAATTGTTCCTTCGACAGGTGCTTGGCTCTTTGAAGTTAAAGTTGGTTTAACCGAAAGTACCGCCGATGGACGGGAAATGATTTATTTTCAAGGACCAAGAACGACAAAAATATGCATTTTTGACTACTTCCCGTTTGATCAGAAATGACGTCACCGGACGTCATTCTCAAAACTTTTAAAGATATCAGGAAATAAATTTTGGCCCCACTAGATCCCTCATTTTAGGAGTCAGCCCTTTTTGAAATATTATTGAAAGATCTCAGAATTCTACTTATTTTTGTTCTATATGTTTAAATAAAGTACTTCTAAGTAAAACAATATCCTAGAAAAGCTATATCTTGCTCAAATTTTCCTGTATCAGTATAACTTCCTGAGTTTATGTAACAAAACGGTTTTCTTGATAAACAGTATTGCATAAATTTGCAATAGAGCAATTGATGATTTTAAAATAAGGCCCCTTCTCAAGTTGAATGTCTGATTTCCCAGTCTACATACGGGGGTCTGATTAGGCCATATTTCAAACTATGTGGGCAAAATATGGGGTTGATTTTCTTTCATATAATACACCGGTATTTTGAAAAGATAATTTGTACCCCAGAGCAAAATATCAAAGTTTCAGAAAATTGAATTTAAGGAAAATTTAAGCCTATCTATTGTGTCTTACTTTAAGGTAGGACCAAATAGTTAGGTCAAATTTTTCCTCAAATTCAATTTTTCTGAAACTTTGATATTTTGTTCTTGGATACAGAATCTCTCTTTATATATGATATGAAAGAAATTCAACCGCACATTTTTGCCCACATAGTCTGAAATATGGCCTTTCATACCCCTGTAAGAAGTTTGTGAAATCAGACATTCGATTTGAGAATGAGCTTTATTTTAGCATTTTCTATTGATCTATTGCAAATTTGTGTAATACTTTTAATAAAGATATCTTTTTTATTACTTTAAATCAGTAAGTCACATTGATACTGGAAAATCTGGGTTAAATATGAAGTAAAAAAAGAACATACAGTGTGTCAGAAACTGAAAATTCACATGCAAATATCCGACAGTTTAAGTTTTCTTAAGAGAAAATGTATAGTTCAATTTTTACAAAAAATTAACAGAATGATTCAAATGGGTCCTAGAATGAAATAAAAAATAAAGAAAATTGAACTAGTGGTTTTAGATATTTTGGTGATTAAAAAAAAAATCAATGGCAAAAAACTAAAAGATTCAGTAGATGATGTCACAATATTTGACCTTTGACCTCTTGATAAGACCTTGACCTTTGTAGAACGTAAAGAATAGAGACTACTTATATACGTGTCCAAATATCAGCCCTCTACTATTTATAAAACAAAGGTTGCACTGCATTTTATAACAGACTGTTACATGCTTGTTTATTGCACTTAGATAGCGTAAACACTTTCCAAAATGTAAGCTCCGAAATGACCAATATATAAAGGATTCTCTGATTTTTTCACAAAATATAACGCAAATTTGCCAAAACTTATTATTTTTCTTTCAGGGATCATTCATTGTTGCCAGTATAGTAATATTACTCTTTTTTCCTCCAGTACTTTTTTAAAAATGGGTTAAAATAGAATCCACGGGTGTTTTGTCCTACCTTAAATTCTGAATACCATGAACGCTGTTGAAAATATATTTTAAAAGATATTGAGAGTTTAACTTTACTTACTGCAATATTGCATATTTCAATCGGATTTTGACAAGAAAATAGGTCACAACTCATTGAGAGAAATGGGACTTATAAACAATAAATACAGCTTTGCTACGAATAATGCACAAAAACTTAATTTTCTGATATGCTTTTTAAAACCTTAAGAAACATAACTAGATGTAATGACATTCTAACCTTGCATTATTGAAATTTAGAATGCCCTTAATCCTGCAAGAAAATGGGCATTAATAATTTACATGGACACCAAGTGACAGGTCGATAAATAAAAAAATGTAATGGTACTGAACATGAACATGTATACATGAATCACAAACATTTTCCTGATATCAATAAAGTTCTAAAAGAATCTTCCATCCTTGTAGGGAAGGTATATTCTTCCATTTGTCACCTTAACTGTACTGCATGGGAAACCTTAAAGAAAACATTTTAAAATACATCGGACGGCGGTGTATGTTAAACCGTGCTCTACAAGATCTGATCTTGCACAAAATTAAAACAAAGCTGGGAGAAAGTAGCAGTAGCAATATCCCCAGCCCCTCGTTCATATGCATGCTTCATAAAACATAATACAAAAAAATATTGAAAATAAGAATCTGAAGAGTTCTTCGTTTTTTTATCCAGGTTTATACTGCCCAAGACAATCCACTTCCTCTCGTGTAGATCAAAAATCTCTCTGTTCAGAATATTTTCCTGAAAATGATTCCACAGGTTTGTAAAAGATAACATGAGTAATTTGAATATTTGATACATGTACAATGTTTTAAAGTTAACATGCGCCTGATAATAAGTTGATCAGAAAGAAAGCAATTTAAAATGAATGTTTTTACGTTTCACTCAGAATATTTTCCAGAAAATGAATCCAAAGGTCTGTGAAAGATATGTTGATTTTTTAGAATATATCATAAATATACAATGTTTTAAAGTCAACATGCGTCTGAAAATCAGTTGATCAGAAAAAAAAACAATTTAAAATGGAATTTTTTTTTAACATTTAACTCAATAATGCTTAAAATGAAACAATGAATGAAATTAATAAATTTGATTTAGAACGCCCAAATGTCGAAATGGAGGAAGGATTATATGAAGAAAATGACTCTGCTCAAACCTTCTTGAAAGGTAATGTGTTATGTATTATTGGTGATAAACTTGAGGGATTAGTGCTCATGACATGGAAAAAGATGAATTGAATAGATAAATTATTTATCAAGTTAATAAACCTTACATGTATATGATATAATCCAAACTTTTGATAAAGGAAGACTAAAAAATATCAGAGAAGAGGAAAGTTTCTTTTATATGCAAAGTTCTTTTTTTTACACAGATGTTGAATGCCTGACAGATTCCTGTGCTTCGCTCTTAGATCGAGAGTCCGTATATACTGAGAGTTTTGGAGGAGATCAGCCAACAGGTTTACAAACGAAATTTTTATTTAATTTTTGAAAATTTGATAATAATGTCACTGCCTACTGTCTGGTATACAATGCACTTTACTATATATTTCAAAATCACATAATTCGAAAATTAGTTGCAAGTAATAAATTCAAAATGGGAAAATATATTTTAGTAAAAATCAGTAATCAATTCCGCTAAGAATATTATTTTAAAAAAAACTTCAGTTACTCCATCGTATTTTCCATCCAGAAGTAGTATACCTTTTGTCTTATTTATAAACTAACCGGAGTTTAAATTAACACATATACATACAACCGCCACAGAAGTTAATTTGGTGGTAGAGTTATCGCTATGTTATATGAGGTCATGAATTCCGACCCTGGCTGCTACTGACCTATGTCAATAAGAATTAAAAGTACATAGCAACTATTCCTTCGTCAGGTGCTTGGCAATTTAAATTGAAAGTTGCTGGTTTTTCGTATGGGGTCTTTCAACTGAGTCCTCGAGTTAATATAGGCTTCGACATGATATTCACCCCTCACTTCTCAATGGAACTTAATGAAAAAAAAGTTCAAAGTTTCGAGCCCTTCACCAGTATATGGTGTTATCTCTGTATGAGTGAAAAGCTCTCCAATGGCCCCAAAAAAGATGATTAAATATCTATAAATCTCTCTCTATCCTTTTATCTACACCGTTTAGTTACTACGCTGTAGAGCAGAAGTACAACACTTTAGAGCAATGGTTTAGAAATACTAATTTCAAATGTACTGTGATTGTGTTTATAGCATCTGCTGAAAGCAATTTGAAGGAAAATAAACCTCCACCTCCTCCACCACGGAATTACGATCCTAAAGGTAACTTTTTCATATCACAAATAGTACCTGTCAATGTGTAATGAATAAAACTTTTAATCTTTGAAATTGCAATTGAATATATATATTTTTTTATTTCTTTTTAATTTACATAAACAAACAAATTACATTTATGGAAGCAAACATTAAATATATGTATCGACAGACTCATATACAGTTATACTCACACTTACGTACAGAGTGAGACACACACCTACAATATTACAGAGGTTTACAGGGTTTTTAGGTTTTTTAAACACCGATTGTGATATACATGTTACTAAGATCGGACATCTTATTTAGCACAACCAGGTAAAATTGTAGCATCGTTTTTTGAAAGGGGCAGCCAGAGAAGAAAATTTTATTTATAATTCCTAGGATAGGGGTGGGGGATGTGCCAATTTTTTTTTTATTTTTTGGGCCCTACAATACTACATTTTCCTTAAATCACAAAAAGGCGGTTCAATCAGCCTTTTTATGAACATTTCCTATAGTAAAAGTAAACTTGACGGAAAAGGGGGTAAGGTCAGCCCCCAGCCCACCCCCTCCGTTGCTACATGCCTGTTGCAACATTTGTTTATGTTTCTAATCGTATTTTGGTAATTTCTTTTATGAATTGGGGGAACATCCCACATTTCTTAACCATTATTGAATCGTGCACTATACAGGCCTCTTGCAACCCTTGAAAATCCAGGAAGGGACATCGAATTCTGATGGCGGTGTCAATGCTCCAATGATTTTGATAAATTCTCTCCCAGAGAAGAGGAGAAGGGTTATCCCTCGAAAGTACTAGTCCCTCTACCGTATCATCTTAGAAACCTATGAACATGCACAATCTCACTGAAGATCTACAGTGTAGGAACTATGAATAAATCTTTCTCCTGAATTTATATACTGGCTGTCAGTACAGCTCCTCGTGTCCCCCTCCCCAACTTTTTATTTAAAAAAAACAAAAACAAACAAACTACGTAATTGTACATATGTTAGGCCTTTCAACTAGTTTTTCAAGTTGCACATATGGTAAAAAACATTGTATTGATAGATTTATAGGTACATAAAATGATCAAAAAAGATAATAACTTGTGCATACTTTTAATTTCCTCATTAAAAAGTTTAATCATTTATACTTGACTTCTCCGATGTTGTGTTTTAGGACAGGTAACTCAGGTGTGAAAAATGACCAACTTAGTGCCGATTTGTGAGTTATCGTTTATAGGAATGACATATAGGCTGCTTCAGCATTGGTATTGTTATATACACAAAAGGGTTCCTACATTGTTTTGTTCACAATAAAGAGAATGCCTACTCTCTACCTGTCTACCTGATATAACAGGGTCAAATGAATAGGGAACAGACTATATTCAATAGTTTAACTCTCTTAGACGATTATTATGAAGAAGAAAATTTAATGTCATGTTTTTTGTGTTCGCGCTTTTTCGCTTCCTATGTAAATATATATATTTTTACAAGTAAATGCAACAATTGATCATCTTATTTGTGTTACTAAGCACGAAGGGGAACGACCGAGTAAAAAAATTTAAATAGGTTAGAACTAAGAAGGAGGGTAGATTTCACTTTTTATTTTAATTAAAAATTTTAATTATTTGCAGTAAACCGGTGTCTGCAACTATAAAGTAAATAAGTTTAACATTGGTGCTAAATTTTAAAACCACTAGATTCTACTGAAAGTGAAAAAACACCTGAGAAATGCTAAAAACTGCCTTGCGTATAAGCAGTTAGATACCCCGAGCCTGCTCTAAACAAGTTTCAGCAGTGAGTTATCGTTCATAACACCGACCCCTAGCGGCAGTTGAAAGGCCTACATATGTACCTTGACGACATTGTAAATTTTAATTATGATATATAGAAAACATTCTCTTTGCGAAACCTAATTTCACAATGTAAAGGTTTTGTGATTTCGGAAGATGAATAGATAATGAGCACCCAACAGATAAAAAGCAGGGGTAGTGTGAAGGAAACTGTTGTACCGATAATATTGAACTGTGTTTAATCTTTATTAAAACGTGTTTTGATAAATAAGGCGATACGGAGTAAATATATATAAAACGTCCAAGTTAACTAAAAAAGACCTATTCTTTAAATAAAAAATATACCCCTAGTACCTAATATTATTACGCAGGGGTATATTTTTTATTATAAGAAAAATAAGAATATGCGCTGTGCTTCAGACGATGAGTGTGCTTTACCTCTCTTCTACTTTTCTTCCAGGGTCCTTCGAGAAAGAAATAAATTCAAAAACTCTTTTTAGATTTTACATAACAGTTCAAAGCTGCACACTGCACCAAAACCTTAGAAAGATTTTTTAAAGCATTCGTAAACTCTTAATCTGCCTTTCTCTCGCTCAGTCTCTGCAGTCGAGTTGTCTCTGATGACGTCATACGTTATGGGCGGTAACTTGCGTTATTAAAAAATATTGATTATCAATTTAAATTTAATTCGCGCAGCAAGAGTCAGGCCAGACGGTTTTTAATTAAACAGTCATGACAGTTTAAATCATATGAGACCGGTAGACAATCGGGTATACGGTAAATCATTCCAATTTTACAAAAAAATCTCCGTACTTGACCTTTTAAATAATCTTTTAATCAATATCATAAGAAATAAAAGTGCCCTGACTAATGAGCCAGTCAAACACTAATTTGCCATCAAAGTTTTTTTTAATCCAACACATTAATGAGTTCAGTATTAAAAATGCTTTCCAACTTCACATCACGTAACTTATTGTTCACACAAAAGTATAATGCCTTATAAAATCTTTCAATTTCAGATAAAATATCTGACTGTTCAGTGACATTATCATTATCAGCAACAAGCTTATTTACAGCTTTATTGATATTTCTTTTTTCCAGATTGAGAAAATATTTAGTATGTTTCTCTCCATACTCTATCCATTTAAGCTAGGTTCTAGAAAATAAACCTTTAATATATTTTTTTTCTAATTTCTGTAAGCTTGGTTTGAGCTTGTTTTAATTTTTCAAAAGTGTCTCAGGAGTTATTACTTTCATTAAAATTATTTTCAAGTTTAATTTCTTTTATTTTTTTTTATAAGCTTCTTTTTTTTCTAGATGATAACATGGATAATGTAATAATTATCAACCCCCTTATTTCTAATAATACATGTAATAGTTGTTCCAAAAAATCGATCATCTATAAGTTAAGCAAAAATTTTATCTGATATATTTTTTTTAATTTCTGAGGCAGCATATTTCTTTTTTGTCGTATTTATTATTTATTTGACTGTATTAATGTAAACATGACCATTTAGCAATGAATTATTAAATTTCCAGAACCTCTTTCCTCTTTCTAATTTTGTAAGTGTAATGCTATGGTCTGTTCTATAACCTGGGCTTATGTCAACTTTATAGATAAGTGTCATTAATTCATTTGACACACAAAAAAAATTGTCTAGTTTTTTAGTTGGGCAATTTTTAAAGCAATATTCCTCTTCCGATCATTATACTTAATACTTTAAGGATCAACCAGGCCATGTGTTTCCTTTACATTCAATACCACTTTTATAGCTTCTGGGTTATTCACATTGTTATAATTAAAGTAGTCTAATTGTTTATCTGGTAGCAGATTAAAGTCCCCTGCCATAATAACAAATTCACCATTAAATTCTGATATTATATCAAAGAAAGACTGATAAAAAGATGGACCGTCCTAATTTGGACCATACAAATTAATTAAAATCATACTAATAAAAAACTTCAAGTATAAGGAGATTCCCATCATCATATCTGTATTGTTTTAGAATATATATTCAGATTCATTATTAGAAAATATATGGCAGTACCCCTAGCACTTGATTTTCCTGGTGAAAAGTATACATCAAAGCCCCAGAAAGACCTCATGTGTTTATAATCTGCATTAGTCAAATGAGTATCTTGAAGTAAACATAAAGGAAATTTCTTTTGCTTAATATTTAATACATCACTTCGTTTTCCTATACCACCGATTCCCCTACCATTAAAAGAAATTATAATAAAATTCATACTGATTTAGGGAAAAAAAAGAGATTAATCCAGTTCTGCATTGTTGCAATTAGTTTTGAACACACCCCATCCGTGAGTACATGTAGATTGACACAAGTACGCACACCCCCTCACACACACCCTCACACACACAAAATTTCACAAAACATAACTATAGAGAAAACAAAGAGAGAGAGAGAGAGAGAGAGAGAGAGAGAGAGAGAGAGAGAGAGAGAGAAAGTTAAGTTCCTTGTGACCCTTGAACGACATGAGAGTTTACTATAGGAGCTGGTACGATATTTATCCCTAACTTCTCAATTGAAGTAAATGAAAACAATTTCGAGCCCTTCACCAGTATATGGTGCCATCACTGTATAAGTGAAAAACTCTCAAATAGCCCAAAAATGACGATTAATTATCAATAAATCACTCTTTCTTTCTTTCTCTTATTTTATCTATACTTTTTTCTAACTACAATGTACACTGTAGAGATATGGTTTTGAGATACTAATTTCAAATGTACCATGATTGTGTTTATAGCATCTGCTGAAAGTAACTTGAAGGAAAATAAACCTCTACCTCCCTTACCACGGAATAACAATCCCAAAGGTATTTTTTCATAACACTAAATAGTACCTATCAATGTAATAATAAATATTAAATTTAGTACATAATGTAATTGAATTTGAATATATAATTTATTATCTATGTTTGATGCAGGAATCCGAAAAGAATCTGCAAAAAATCAATTTTATATTCAATTCAGTTTCTGCATTGATTTAAATAAAACTTTTAAATGATGGTGGGATGATTCTAAACAGTCCATTTCTTATCACTGATAGAAACATGACAGAAAATAATATCACTAACATTAATCAAATCTCAAAGTTGGTCAATAAATTGTATGAGTATTAAATTGTTTCTGTTTTTCATTCATTTATATTTTTATCATGTTTTTAATGTATAAATTAATGAACTGCAAGATTATATTACTTTCATTCATGACGCAAAACTATGAACGTTTTGGACTATTATATACCATATATATAACATAAAACATTCCACTTTTAAATTGAATGTGGGAGGACTGATGTTTTGTCCAAATTGTTAATCTTTCACACACAAAATCGAATATTATTCAATGCATCAATCTTGCTTTCGACAATTATACCCATTAATAATCAAACGAATAAAGGATTATAAATGAAAGGGAAATAAGCTGCACATACGTTTCAAATGTCCCAACATGTTATTTGTTAAAGACGGCTCTCCTTAAATAAAAAAAAAATCAGTTGCTATTTTTAATTTCTTGACTGTTTGTACAGCATGTCATAATTAACATCTTTTGCAATATTTTCAGATTGCATATGTGATCTTATGAATAAATATGTATTATTTGACAATCACGTGCTTATTAGTTGTAATATTAAAGGGAAGGATAGGCCGCATATTTGAGAAAATTCGCAGTAAAAATAACATTAAAAAATCTGATTGTTATTAATTTTGTAAATATGAATGTCTCTGATCAAAACAATGTTGCTTGTTACACAGCTTTTTTAAAATTTTGAACAAGCAGTAGTCTGAAAATATGTAATACTCACGAGAGAAATTATAATAGAAATCTTCTCATACCTCGAACACAGGAACAATTGAACCCCATATATTAGGTGATTGTTCCGAAGAATTAAATTTGCTCAAGGTACCTCCATTTATACTTGTATGTGATTTACAAATATAATACCCATTTTAGGTTAAACCATTTTTAAACATGTATATCTGTTTCATTTCATTTTAACAAATAGAGTATCAGCATGAAATATCAGAGGAAGTTGGAAATGGCAACACCTATTCTGTTTCCAAGAAACGAAAGGAGCGTACAGAAAATGTTAATGGTAATAATTGAAATATGTTTATATTTGTTTACATGTAGACATGTATATGTAACAACCAAAGTTGCACACGTACAAGTTACAGTCATAGAATATTAATAATTATAGAATATTTTTCACGTGTATTTTTCTTATTTCTGGGTAGTAAATGAACTTCAACAAACACTCTGGAAAGAGTTTTTTTTTAAATATATATTTTTAGGTAAATTAACAACAAACTTACTCTACAGTAACTATGTAAAACATTTCTCTGAATATGACTTATTTAAGTAAAAGATATTTAGGATAAAAACCATTTACTCCAGACGAAGGATATCTTATGTTCTAGAAGAATTTTTTTTTCACGAATTAGAGGATATTTACGCTGCAGATTTATATCAATCTATAAATTCATCATTATGATTGGTCTAAAAAAGTTTTAAATGCATATACTTTCCTTTCAGACAACAGTATCAACCCATATTTATGCCTAAATAACGTTCCCTTAAAATTTGAAGTTTCAGGTACTTATCTATTTATAAGTATTCATCTAATATATGATTCATCATTTTATTCATTTATTTTTGTTGCTTTTATTAGCGTTATCAGATTATATATATATACTGTATACAGGGTTATTTTCGCCCCGTCTTATTTTCGCCCTTTCACACTTGCAAACAATTTTGCCCCGTTTTAAATTCGTCCAATCATGGTTTTGTTTAAGAAATTTTACTGTATTCTTTGAATTCGCCCCGTTTTAAATTCGCCCAAAAAAGATCGTAGGGCGAAAGGGGCGAAAATAAAACGGGGGCGAAAATTTTCCTGTATACAGTATATAATTTTGTTGTATTTTTAAAGGTGGAACAATGTTACCAAACGGACAAATTCTTTTAACAAGCTATCATGAGGGAGCTTTATGGTTGTTGAAGGAGAGTGGGGAGATTATCAAGCGAGTAAAAGCAAAATATGTCTGGGATGCAGCTGCCGGTGTGGACTTTAACGGAATAGAGCAAGTCTTTGTTACCTTTGTTAGACCAAGTAGGTCCTAAATCTTGTAAAACTTATCAATCATTTACCAAAATGTTTAACTGTTTAAAATCGACACATACAAAAATTTTAAATATTCTGAATCAGGAAGTTTTATGAAAAGGATCGCACTATTCTCGTAAAAAATCACCTGTAACAAGCAAATGTCTTTTAGCTCACCTGATTCGAAGACTTAATTTGGCTTTTCATCTGGTCGCAATTGAGGGCGTTCCTTTGTCTGTCAATCTGTATGTAATCATTACATATTTCTAACATCTTAACAAGAACCCACGGGCCATTTTCCACCAAACTTTGCACAAAAAGTCCTTAGGTAAAAGTAATTTAAGGTTAGTTGTTTAAATAAAGAGCCGCGCTTTCTTCAAATAAAAGATGATTTGAAAAATGTGAAAATATTAATTACATCTTTTAAAAATCTTGGTTTGAAGAACGAATATGCTAGAAAGTTTAATAATTATGTCCAAGAAAAGTTAAATTCAATTTTTGTTCAAACCTTGACATCCCTGGATGGGCAACAATAACGGATGAAATCCATTCATAGGAATACATAAAGAAAACCTTTTTGAATCATCTTTTACAAAACAAAAAAGATATGCTCAGTCATATTTTTATTAAATCATCAACAGGTACTGTAGAAATAGCATCATCTAAACATTTGGGAAGGGTATATCATCAACAGGCGATCAGACTTTTGCATAGGAATTGTTAGATAATCTTTTCAGATTCTCATCTAAGAACAGCAAGGCCATGATTTGTCATCTTTAAAAGGATAGTCAAAAGACGATGAAAGTTTTACTTAGGAAATCATATAACAATCCATAAAATCTTCTCAAGAACAGAAGAGCGATTATTTGTTTAACTAATTCAAAAGCATCATTTGATAATGCAGATTAATTTTTTTTTCGTATTAACCCCCAGACTTTTTTTAAAGCTAAGCTTTTGAATAATAAGCTTATTTCTGCTTTTTATCTAGCCAAGGTACTCCTGTGACCATTGTGACCTTGTGCCTTTTGTAAAACCCATAGACTCAGAATACAGCATAAAGTAATTTGGATATTTTTATATCAGAAAATTCTTTGATTGTGACCAAATAATAGGGTTTTATGAAAACTTTTTTCAATCGTGCAGCATTGTTTCCGGGTAAGTTTACAGTAAGAAGGAGGGGCTTATGTTTACTATGACGTCACACAAAATATCAGGGACTCAAAGTACAACAAAATGATATTATTTGCTATTTCAAACTTCTGGATAGCTGTTGACTACAAAAAAGAGGCCCATGAGCCACATCACTCGCCTGAGCACATCGTCTAGGAAAAAGCACATAGGATCAGAAATAAAAAAAATTACCGATAGGGAAGGGGGCTTGAATTTGAATACTACTTAAGAATGTATCCATATCAATACAGCATGTTTTTCTTGAGAAAAAGATTTTTAATGATTTTCTTTACATTTTGTTTGTATATATTACTTCGTAATAATCACATTTTTCCTATTACATGTATTTCCCTCCCTACCCCCAAAGAGTCATGATTTTAACAAATTCAATTTCCAATACATAATCTTAAGGATGCCTACATGTCAATATGAATATATAAGCATAGCTCTTCTGCTCCTGGGATTTTTCCATTTATTTTTCTATGTAAAACTTTGATCCACAGATGAGACTCTACCCAAGCCTTGGGGGTCATGATTTGAACAAATAAAATTCTACACAACCTAAGGATATTTCCAGATAAGTATCACTTATCAAGGCTTTGCTATTCCTGAGATATTTTTGAAATATACTTTGATGTAAAACTTGGATCCCCCATTGCGGCCCCATCCTACCCATGGAGCTTATGATTTGAACAAACAAGAATCTACACTTCCTGAGGATGTTTCCTTGAAAATATCACTAATCATGTTTTGCAGTACTTGAGAAGATTTTAACAGATTTCCCTAATTATTAAATTCCATGGAAAAACTCTGATCGGCCGTTGTTCATATCCTTTCCCTACACCCATGGGTCATGGTTGAACAAACTTGAATCTACACTACCTGAGGATGATTCAACATGAGATTCATTTTTCCTGTCCCTATGCATCTTGGGAGAAAATTTTTAAAGTACATTTCCTATATATTCCTATGGAAAACTTTGATCTAGGTGGCCTCATCCAACCCACACAGGTCACGGTTTGAACAAACTTCAATGTACACACCTGAGGATGATTCAACATTGGTTTCATCTTTCCTATGTCCCAATGGTTCTTGAGAAGAAGACTTTTAAAGTTTTTTTTCGATATACACATGCATTCCTGTGTCAAAATTTGATTCCCGATTGTTACCCTACCCTCCCCCCGGGTTTCAAGATTTGAACAAACCTTAACTAACACTAAATGAAGATGTTTCCAAGTTTTATCATTCCTGTCTCAATGGATCTTGGAAGATTTTTTCATATATATTCCTAACTTTGATCGGCTGTTGTGGTCTTACCCTACCCCCGGTGGTCATGATTTGTACAAATTGAAATCTACACTACCTAAGGATGATTCCATATGAGTTTCATCTTTCCTCGCCCAGTGGTTCTTGTGACGAAATTTTTAAAAGATGTCATTAATTTTTCGCTAATTCATAATTATCACCTATTTTAAGAGGCCCTGGTCCTTCATTTGAATAAAAAACAAACTTGAATTCCTTTTCCTTAAGGATATTCTCTGCCAAGTTTCTTTGAAATTGGCCCAGTGGTTCTTGAGAAGGAGGTGAAAATGTGAAAAGATTACGACAACAACTACAACGACAACAGAGAACAGACAAATCTTGATCAGAAAAGCTCTCTTTTTTGAGCCCTCAGTTCAAGTTAGCTAAAACTTACTAATATATGCAGTTTTGTCGTTTGTTAAATCCCACACAACAATAAAAAAAAATCATCTAATTGCTCTCAACATGTAGATTTGAACCACATTAGATTTCTTAATATCTGTTTTCTTAACATGTCGATTTGAACCACATTACATTTTTAAATATCTGTGAAGTCCTAAAAAGAAGGGCTCTTCCTTATAAAGTATATACTTTTTATCTTTTAAAATCGCTGTTATTTTCATTTGTAACCTGAACTGTACAGCGTATAGCTTCCCTTATTTGTATAGTAACATAGATGGCTTTATGTCTCTCATCTGATTTGATACTCAGAAATGTGTTCTACGTAAGATACGATGATAACGAACAGTATTTAGAGTCAAAGTACAATTTAAACAATCAGATCGGAAGCAAAGCAATACAAACCTACAAAAAAAGAACAAAAAACCACCAGAGTTGGGATAAGGTTCCATTGAGGAGTAAACATCCCTTTGCGACTGTTAACATTTGCTGTGTGCTCCTTGTCATCGTACAGAACAGAAAATTTGGTCGCAGCTATAATAAAGTTGACCGTAAAATACCAAACTGTTCAGATAGCAATGTTATAGTATTAAATCACTAAATGATTCCTATAAATATATTTCAGATGCAAGGAAGAAATCAAGAGTTGATTTATTTTCAACAGAGGGAGAGTGTCTTGGCCTTTTTACAAAGGACGTGGACCATCCACTTGGGGTTGCTTGTTCCTCGAAAGAGGTCTTTGTTTCAGACAAAAACAAAATGATTAAAGTGTTCTTTTTGTCAAACGGATGCTTAAAATATACAATCAAAAACACTCTTTTTAAGAATCCCTGGTTCATTGCGTTAAAGGGGGAAACGCATCTATTGGTTTCAGATTTTGATGCCAATTGTGTTTTTTTAATCAATCTGGATAACCCTCGCGAAATCGTCAAAAAGTTTCAAAATCAAATGGCAACAAATTCAGATGTTTCTGCATTTGTACCCGGCAAATGCCTTTTTCTAAGAAAAATTTGTTTTCTAAGTGACCAAAAGGGGAAAAAAGTTGGAATTATCACCCAGTCCGGAAGAATGAGAACATTTATTAAAGACGTTTTTCCTGATATTGAATTTGCTCCATTTCTATTATTGATGAATTCAAAAGATAACCTCATAATCGTTTCTAAATCTGGACTTATAACTACATTGCAGTTAGATTTCGCGGCTCTGGAAGATTATACAATTCTGTGAAGCAAAAACTGACAGAGAATCTCAAAATTGATGATTTATGTAAATATTGAGCGTGTTTTAAGAAAATTAAGTTTGCTTAAAAAGGGGGGAAATCTGAAAGGTAAAAAATTGATGAGAGATTACTTCAATGCACTGACGAAAATTAATTTTCTAAACATAAAGTCCATAATCGAAAAGAAATCTAACAAATTACTTTCAAAATATCTTTTAAACCCTACCAAAACATACTTTTATATTTTGTTTATACGTTTTAAAAGTGTTGCATTTAACGAAACATCAATGCAACACTTTATAGGATAGGGGTGGCATGGTATTTTGAAAACTATCTATATAGCCAATGACTTGAGAATTATATCTCTAAAACCCAATGATCGAATTAAAATGCACAGAATGATATAAAAGAGTGAACTTACTTATTGTTTTAATAGTTAGAATGGTGCGCTATTGTCTATTAAAAATATTGTCAATCATTGAATTAAAAATACTGTGAAACAAGAAGTGTTTATAATGTTTTAAAATGAAACAGTTTAGATGTTTTTAAAGACTTGTGGATATTTGTCAATTATAATTTTAAAAAAAATCAAATTTAGTGGTTTATTGATGATTTGTAGCTTATGATTTGTTGCAGTTGTTGTAATTTGTTGGAGTGTTTTGTTAGCCTCATTTGCATGAGATTTATTAAACTATTGGAATACTTTCAAAACACAGTATTTGTAAATAGTTTGTTAGAGCGGTAAATAAGTAGTTTGTTAGAGTGTATTATTAGTAATTTGATATAGAGTTCTGTTAGCTCATTTGCATGTGATTTGCTATACTATCGGAATAATTTCAAATCACAATTTTTGGTTGATTTTGTTGTAGTTAGTATTTTGTTAGTATTTTGTTAGTATTTTGTTTCCCTTTTTGCATTTGAGGTGTCTATTATCATCATTAAAACTACCAAAAGAAAAAAAAAAGACACTGCCAAGTCTCAGCATTGTAAAGGCTGAAAAAAGGAGGCGGGGCCTAATTTATACGGAAAAAGTTTACTGTGACAAAAATATTCCCCTGAATACCAGAAAATGAAATAAATTGCACTTGAAACTGATGTAGTATAATATACAACAATAAAACTTATCAATGCATTATAAAAAAATTGCTAATTAAATCCCATACAGCTGGTTATAAACAAATCACTGATCCCGATGAACTTGTCAATCATGACATAATTTTGGTAAAAATGCCGTATTTCATGTGCTGGTGATAGGCAGACAGAGGAATTCTTTAACAATGAAAAATGCTTTTTATTAAAAAACAGAATAGTATTTACAGGTTTTAAATAGGCTATTAATACCAATTGCAAAGTATATCCTTTGTTTAGTGCGATTTTTCATTAACTACCGAGAGAATGCATTCAAATAAATTTGTACTGTTTTTATGTGCATGTTAGGTTTATTTCACATGGAGGTGTCTCATGAAATCGTTCTTTCGCTAGGGCATACACTAAATCTTAACTATTTTACAATATAAATAAAGGATATGTTCCTCAACTTGTAAAGAGATGCTGTTTTCTTGAAATCAAGAACGTGACATTATAAGTACACGAAATATTTGGTAAAAGTCAAACATATTTCGACATGGGCCTATTTAATTGACATTTTATCTATTAAAACTCGATTTTTTTTCAAAGCAGGAGCACTTTCCAGAATATTAAGTTAACAGAAACAAAAAATAGCTCGATTTTTAATTTCAAATAGGGTATGCCCTTGCGATATTGAAATTTGTTAAGGACCTTCATTCAGTACACGTACCATGCATTCATCACGTGACTGTCCATCGATTGGACCAAACTTTATACAGTTCAGAGGATGTTATACGATGCTATTTCCATAAGTATTTAAGTTCTGTGATAATAAAAGGGACGAATAAAAATAAATCCAGTTTTTAAAAATAAGCTCGCTTTTGCAGTTCTATTTTCCGTTGATGTCTCATAGAAAGTCTTCATAGTGCCGCGGTCTCGTCAATTTGAGATAGATAGATCAACTCACCCCCTAACTCTTAAGTTCTGACCATTTGACCTTGGGATTTGTACTTATTTTTAAAACTAAAACTTTGGCCATCACCTTTGAACAGTAGATAATTTGATATTGTTAGCAAATATAGCATATTAAAGGCTGACTTGTTTCATATTAATTGTAAGATTTTTGTTTGTAAATTCAATTGACTAAGAAAAGAAATATAGAGCTGGCTGATACGTTTAACATGTTGGTGTAAGAGAATCAAGACTAGCATCCAAATTCTTAATTTTATTATTTCAATAAGGGAATATTTTATTTTTGTACAGATCTTATTCATTCCATTTGTCCTTTCTATTGAAAAAGACGACTCATGTACGTTAACTGGGCCTTGTGTAATGTGTTTCTGTCGTTTCCATAATTAATTTCGTAGTTATATATTGATTGTAATAAAATATTTACTTTCCAAATGCGTTTTGTTTGTTTTAATTATTATTTTCAATTAGAAACCAATGTTTGTAACCAATGCAATCCCAGTCATCTTATGAAAAAACAGTTATTATTCTTACAATATGTATATTACATGTAGCACTATTGTATGTTTACTGAAATCAGATGTCTTATCTTTAAATCCTGTCATTAGCCATACTCACACAATAGACCCCTAACTGACATCATTTTAAACTTTTTTATAAATGATGCATAGCTTACACCGACCAATGCTTCGGTCGATTGAGTCACTCGGATCATCTTTGTTATCAAAGATGCATTCAGACGGCCATTTGTTATCTGTTTACGTCATGCATCATCCGTCAACAGTAAACTTTAAACATTTTAAGCTTTTTCTCTTGAACCGCTGAACACGTTTCAACCAATATGGAATATAGCATCTTTTTGGTGGAAGGATATACCAACATTTTTTTTAATCGTCTTAAATACTGCTGGACATAAAGCAGTCATTTGCAGAAATTGTTAGTCCTTTATTAATACACTGAATTGACGACGGATTTTTTCCGTTATTTCCTGATTAAGACAGAGAGCACACAGTGGGTGTGACCGGTCGGCGGGGGATGCTCACTCTTCCATGGCACCTGATCCTACCTCTGATGTCTAGGAAGTCCGTGTTTACTCTGCTCTTATTTTGTATATTGTTTAATGGACGTTGAGATTGAATACTATTCGTTATTTCCATATCCTTCTTTTAAAATTCATAACCCAGTGGTCAGTGGTTCTAGAGTAAGTGCGAGGCTCTATTTGAATATCTTTGAAAAGGCTTTTTTCACCCCCCTGTATATTGAACAAAGAAACCGGAAGGTTATTATCGTTATAATGAGTAAATATGTTTCGTCTAAAATTTAGGTTATGGGTACTGGCGTCCTTGGTCATGGGAACTGGGGTAATGAAGATAAAGAGGTGGCTCTATTGACTATATAGTCATAATGAATTAGTTCTTTAAAATCTTCTTGGCCCTTTGCATCTGGTAAATTTACAATATGCAGTGTTATGAAGAACAGGGCCTCCCCCCTAAATTCTGAATATCGTATACCTCGGGTCAAGTATTCTGATGTAAGGGGCACTATTAGTCATACACAGTGCATAGTGAAATTGAATTAGTTTTGTACAAATCTTCTTTCTTGTTCCAGTACATTTGGAAGACATATACATGCAAGACCATGTTTACGATTAGCAGAGCTATCAACTTCCGACTTTTGGGGTTTTTTAATATTGTTTGATACGGGGTATGTAGCAATTAAACAATAGACGACAATGCCCAGCTGAATAACTTTGATACTGCTCTTCGTCATTAGATTTACCCCTTTTGGCCCTGTCCTATCCCCAGTGGCCATGATTTTAACAATTTAGAATTAACACTGACCAGGGATGCTCCAAAATAAGTCTCATCTTTTCTTGCCAGTTGGTTCTTGAAAAGACTTCTCCGTTATGTAAAATTCTCACACCTTCCTACCGACCTATGTTTCTTCTTCCCGAGTCGGATGAGGGCAGGTCAATAACTATCCAATTTCTTAAATACAGAGAGGAAGAGAATTTCTAAGCATTAATACATTTTCCCTATAAAATCAAGAGCCCGACCCATTGAACCCCGGATCCTGGGTCTAATATATATATCATACATATATTTTACAATTTTGTTCATTATATCCATGCATATAGATTAAACGCTTAATACTCGAGAAGCTGAGATGACTTTTAAAGAAATAATGCATCTAATCTGGCTTTCAGATCGTGATGATTGGGATCGATTTCGGACAGAACAAACATCCCGCTGAGTGGCGATTCATTGCGATGTCTCGCGTTCTGTCACTATCTGTGACGCTTTGCGTGGTCGTACGTGCTGACAAGGTATTTTCCCGCTCAGAGACGAGACGATTTGATAGGGAAGCATAAGAGTTAATGCTATTAGACACGAGCGTTAATGCTTCGCAGCACAGTTAAGGTTACAGTAAGGAGGCGGGGCCTAATTTGTACGGGAAATGTTTACTATGACGTCACACATAATATAAGGTCTTCAAAATACCACAAAATGAAATTATTTGCTATTTCAAACACCTGGATAGCTGTATACTACATAAAACTTACTAATACATGCAGTTTTGTCGTTTGTTAAATCATACACAACAGTATATAAACGATGCATCGATTGCAATGCACTTGTCAATGTGACGTCATCTCGCAAAAATGACGCAGTTTGTACACAGTGAGAGGCTGATCAAGTCACATTTCGTACAATGAAAAATATCTTTTGTTCTCAAATAAAATATTTTTTGCTTTAAAATAAAAAGCCATTAACTTGGATGAGATGTTATTTTAGTATTTTATTTATAAACTGTAAGTGCATTCTCCAGACAAGAGATACTGCCGTGTGCGTGCATGCAGATTCATTGAAAATGTAATGGAAGGGCCCCGATAAATCGATTTATTGCAAGGGCATACCTGCAATTTATCTAGTCAAAATTTTACACATAAACTCAAAAAGCATTAAGATATTTGAAAAGTGCTGCGAACCTCTTGAAATCTTGCATATAAATTAATTATAGCTATATTTAATGTAGTTGACCAGCAAAATATTCAACCTGCTGTCCAAAAATTTAAATTTTACCATTTGAAAAATGGAATCTGTTTAGGTTCGCAGCACCTTTCACAAACTACATATAGTGTTGAAAAGGATTATAAAATAAACCCAAGATTTTTAACTTGGTTATGCCCTTGCAATATTCAAATTTATAGATGGCCTCTAAACTGCAAGTTTACTTGTCAAATCATGTTACATCGACATCACATGGCTTTTCTAAATAAAACATCTAAATGTCTCCAACATGTAGATTTAAACCACATTACATTTTTTTATATCAGTGAATTCATAAAAAGAATTACCCATCCTAATTTCAAAGAAATTAATGCATTTTGACTGTATAATCACTATAGCCACACCCGTACACCAAAACCCCTCACTCAGGGGCTATGGAATTCATGATTTTGGAATATGCACCTTTTCTCATCATTACTATATACATAGTTCTTTCGCTTAATGTCCCTGAAAAGATTTTTAAAGAACATATGCATTTTCACTATAAAATCAACAGAGCCCCGCCTTAACACCAAAACCCGTGACCCTTGGGCCATAAAATTCACAATTTTGAAAGAAGCACTCTTGCTTATCATTACTTCATACTATATACTTAGTAAGTTAAGAGCAGAGTAGAAGATTTTCAAATATTTTATGTATTTTAACTATAGAATAGCCTTACCCTAACACCAGAACTCCAGACAATGAGACCATGAAATTCACAATTTTGGAAAAGACATTCTTACTCATATTTATGTACTTGGTTATTTTGTTTAATACACAGCAGCAGAAAAGAAGATTTTCAGAGATTTTATGTTCATCAACTATATAATCAATAGAACTCCAACCTAACATAAAAAAAAACCCTGACCCTGGGGCCATGGATTTTTTAAGAGACACCCTTATTTAACATAAATGCATACTTAATTAGTTTATCTAATACCCAGGATCAGAAAAGATTTTCAAACAAATGATGCATTTTCACTATATAATCTAAGTAGCCGTGCCCTAGCACCGAAACTCCTGACCCTGGGACCATGAATTTTACAATTTTGGTAGAGAATTCAATGCTGATTACAATCATGCTAACAGTTTGACTGCTTGATGTCCAGCAGTAAGGAAAAACATTCTTAAACATTGCATTAATTTTAGTAGTTTTTGCCCGACCCCTCAAGCCCCAGGGGGACAGGGACCATGGAATTAACAAATCTTGTTCCCCTTCACACAGAGATGCTTAATTTCAAAATTGGTTGATTTGTTGCAGAGAAGAGGCTAGAATTTTTTTAATGTCAACACACGACAACTGATGAAAACAGATAGCAATAAGTCACCTGGTAGAAGTGTTTTATATAGTCTTACAAGCAAGGAAACACATTGATGGACAGGGCACTTTACGATGAACAATCCAAGAGACTCTTTTGATCTTTGACCAGTAAAGCTAAAAAGCATAGATGAAACATACACAGATCATTTTAAAAAGGGCAATTTAATTATTACAAGAAATATTGTATAACAATTTTTTTTAACTGAATCTTGTTAAAGGAAGGGTATGGAAATAACGAACAGTATTCAATCTCAACGTCCATTAAACAAATATACAAAATAAGAGCAGAGCAAACACGGACCCCCGAAACATCAGAGGTGGGATCAGGTGCCATGGAGGAGTGAGCATCCCCTGCTGACCGGTTACACCCGCCTTGTGCTCGTTGTCATAACCAGGATATAACGGAAAAAATCCGTGGTCAATTTAGTGTATAAATAATGGAATAACAATTGGTATGAAAAACGTCAGTCAGCATTTCATTCAATGATAAATTGTATTGCTGAAAAGGTCATTGTATCGACCATAGAATTTACGAAATGATGACTACAAACGAGACCGCTGATATTCTTGTTTCATCAACTTGCTTGTCAATAATTTACCTCGTTTAAGAAATTGTTCATACGTAGAGCATGCTCTTGCATATCGAATCAACTGAGATATAAATACTCCGTATGCAAGTGATGAAGGTATATTGCTGCATAAGTAAGGGAAGTTGACGATAGAAAAGTTATAGTCATCACGTTTATCATATAGCTTGGTTGTTCGATTACCATTAGTGTCTTTTTCAAGTAAAATATCCAAGTATATCCAAAAACATAACTACAACCCCAGCTGTGATGAACATAGAACTTATTTCATGATATCTATCAACATGTTTCTATTATAATTACGTCATATAATAAACATTTTTTTTAAATACACAGATGCAAGAATTAAACCTCAAACCTTGGTTTTTAATCAGTATTTGCTATGACATTTGTTTTTCTATTTTTTGTTTGTTTGTCTCTTAAAGATTGAATTAATAACTAGAAGCGATAGGTACCTACTCAACCACACAGAACCATATTACAAAAGAAGTGAAACATGTACATATCCATAAACTGTTATTTACATACATTTATACACTGTAAAAGTGCCGATTCAAAATTGCCACCTCTTTGAATATAAATTAAATCCCTACATTATACATTATATAAACTAAATATAAATGAATCCCTACATTTGATGTAATTGCCCTATATGAGTGTCACATATCCATTCCCATTTCATGCAGCATTGTCACGCTAATGCATTGTCATCTTACAATGCATCCTATAAATTGATTCATTTGTATTATATAATCACTGTAAAAATCCATAAACATGTAACATCTTTAGTAACAACATTCATATTTGTATAAAAAATTCATTATTCTTAACAATCAATCAAAATCAAACATAAAAATAACTAATTCACTCACAACTTATACTTTGTAATTATAACATATCATACATGTACACTCACTGTACAATTTAAGGATTGTGCCTACTTATGTATTATAATACATGGCCACTCAAATAAATTAATATATTTATTTCTTTTATTTATGATTTAAAATCCTAAACATTCACACTCATCAGTTGCATAAAACCATTCCACATCCCCTCATGTTGTTTTAATATGTGCAACATCACTTAATATTTGATGATGATCTTGAACACATAACAATGCTACACATTCGATATACTCTACTGTCTTACAGAATAAGTACATGAATTGGTGTTTTCCTTATAACATGTAATCCAAGAACCATAAATTCACGGACAAATTTTGCAAAATAATGCTTTGCTTGAATTCATTTTTCAATTGCAACTCAAATCCAAGTTAAGATTTCTGTACATAATTGTAAAGAAAATTTAAACACTTGGACGATAAGGAAATCAAACAATGGTCATACCAGCCAACTTCAAAAATTATTTAAACCTCATGATTTTTATTTGGTTGAACTGAACCTAATTTACTCTTTTTAAAATCTGGATTACTCACCTTAATCTTAAACAGAAAAATAACTAAAAATATAATTTTTGATGCACTTTCTAGTTATGGATAGGTGTTACAGTAAAACACGGTTAAAGCAAAGTTCTGGGGACCTGTGAACTTAATTCACTTTATCCATAGTTTGTAAAACAAATTTGTATCCTAAAAAAATATATAGCGAATTCGCAATATGCATGTTTTTTTTTCAAGTATTGCTACCAAATATTTAATGGAAGCAAATATCATAAAATGCATCTTCGATATCTAAGGTTTAAGTATGAAATGAATTTTATAAACAGATGCCTAAAGAAAATAGAGTCAGTTCAATATACCAAATGTTGATATCTTTGAAAGTTTATTATAAAAGATGTTAATTTCATTATAGACATGTATATAACCTCAAAGGGACTTAAATTTAGTTCGCTATATCCGTCAATTCGTTATATCCTACATGTAGTTCGTTATAACTGTAAAATTTTACAAAGATTTGATAAAATTATATATCCATTTTCATACTTATAAATAGTTGTACCGTAGGCATTTTTTTAATTTAGCGATCATATACTGTGGATGAACTTTTTTTTCCGCATGGGATTAATTTCTGCTATGTACACAAACACAATTTATCTGAAAAATTTTGTCACAGTGAACATAAGATTCATTAAGGACAAATTAAAACAATCAAAGACACATGTATCCGCATAATTTCATACTCAAAGATTGAATAGATATTTTGTTTCCAAGGAATTATGACCCTGTGTAATTAAATACTTTAAGAGTAACAATATTTGATAAACAACAATTCGGAATAACTAGCTATAGAGCTGTTCTTGGATGTTTCCCCACAGCTGAAGATAAGTTCAATAAAGTGTTAGTGTTTCTACATCCTGTGTCATTTGTGAAGACGACTCATCAGAGAATAGGTCATTTGACAGCTGAAATAATGAATTACTTTCAAGAAGAGTTTTAACTTTTTTCATCGAGATCCCGTATTCCAGCAGCAGCTCTGGACGACCATCCAAGGGCTTAGCTTTACAATGATTATTATAATATAATTTGGGATGACCAGTTTGGAGCATTCCAAAGACGCGGGCAATATCTGTAACAACCACAAGTGGGGCACCTGAAGCACCATGAGCAATACTTTCAGAGCAGTGAAACAAAATGTGATTACGGGATAGCTTACATGGGGAATAGTCTTCCTTGACTACTTCACTATCAAACCCTTTTTCTGTGAAAAAACTTATCCCTTCTTTCACTACCTCTGCTAATTCTGCTCTGTCTTCAATAATTCTACAATCACGGTCATGTTGCAGTATCTTGTTATCTGGATGACCAAACACATGAAGCTTTGCTTCAGGTATGCAGTATTCCGTCAAACGAAGGGGTGCAGACAAAGTCTGATTGTCATCAAGTTCTAGGATCAGAACATCGTCTTTCTTAGATGCAAATGCCACAGGGTCATGTGAAAATTTGAAAAAAGTTCCTCCTGTAATTTTTGTAAATTCCATTTTTATATGACAGGAGTCCGTTATCATTTCTTTTGCTGCTTGTAGAAGAAGCTCTGAAAAAAAAAATGTAAGAGAAAAAAATAAAAACAAGAGGTCCAAGACCCCTAGACCCCCCATCCCCCCACTCTATGGTACCCCTAACCATGAGGCCTTGCAATTCCTCGACATGAGATTTGCAAGAGACCAAACAATAAAATACACATCATGATATGGTCATGTGATACAACATGTATCAGAATACAGCAGTCAACAATTAATATAACTCGTTAAACTTTGGTCGGCCACTGTGACTCAGTCCTACCTTCAGGGGGGGGGGGGGGGGGGTATGGGGGGCATGATTTCAACATACTTGAATCTACACAACCTGAGGATACTTCCATATAAATGATCAATTATGGCTTTGAGAAGTTTTTTACAGAATAAACTTAAATTTACACTACCTAAGGATGCTTCCATATAAATATGATCAATTATGGATTTACTATTCTTGAGAAGAAAATTTTTTTTAAAGAATTTTAGAATCTACACAACCCAAGGATGCTTCCACATAAAATTAAGATTTTTTGGCCTAGTGGTTCTTGAGAGGAAGATTTTTAAAGATTCTTTATATATATTTAATGTAAAACTTTGATTCTCTAATGTGGTTCCGCCCAACCCCCTGGGGTCATCATTTGAACAATTTAGAATCTATTCTACCCCAGGATGCTTCCATATAAGTTTCAGCTTTTCTGGCTCAGCAGTTCTTGAGAAGAAGATTTTTTTTCCTATATATTTGTACGTAAAAATTTGATTCCCTATTGTTCAGTTGCCCTGCCCAACCCCCGGGGGGTCATGATTTGAACAATTTAGAATGTAAACTACACCAGTAGGCTTCCAAATAAGTTTCAGCTTTTTCCGGGGCAGGGCAATGTAATTCTTGAGAAGATATTTTAATGACCCCACCCTATTTTTGTCTTCTCTTTATAATCTCCCCTTGTGAGAGGATCTGGCCCTTAATTTTATTCCCCTTCACCCAAGGATGCTTTGTACCAAGATTGGTTAAAAATTTGCCAAGTGGTTCTTGAGAAGAAAATGAAAATGTTAACTGACAGACAGACGGACGGACAGCTAGATGGACACATGATCAGAAAAGCTCACTTGAGCAATCCGCTCAGGTAAGCTAAAAATAACTTGAGACCCCTATCCAGTTATTTATAGGTGGACTTATAGTCTTAGCATTATATTATTTTTCGTTGCTACACTGCACCTAGTCCTCAATCATTTTGAAACATTAATATTTCTTGGTTTGTATGTAAAATTATCAAAAAAGACAATGAAAATTAACTTTTACTGTATCAAGATACATACAAGGGGATACACACTTCACGATACTTTGCGATCAATGTAACGCCGTATTGTTACACCTCTACAAATCACAATTCTGGCAAAATTGCCCTTTCTCATCTAAGCAAATATATTGGTAGTTCATCTGCTTAATACCCAGGAGCAAAGATGAAGATTTTCAAAGATTTAATATATTTCACTATATAGTCAATAGATCCCTGCCCTAAAACCAAAACCCCTTTTTTCTCTCTTAATTCTGTTTTCTGAAATAATTTCATGAGTTATATGCACTATTTACCATAAATGATGAAATGGAGAAATTTGGATTGGAGAAAAAGTATCCTTTTTATGGATATTTGAATTATGAAGTAGAGGTACATGTGCATGAATTAAAGAGATATATTCCTGAACAATAGGACAACAACGCTTTTATTTTTTTATTTGTTAAGATTTTCTCTAGACAGTCAAGCTACCTCTGAAACAATATTTACATCAGATACGAGACCAATTTTTACTAGCCTCAGGCTAAGGTTAGTTAGTTTTCATGAAGATTGCACATCAAGTTGTAAGCTCATACACTTTCTTTGAATTATTTTATTAATGCCCCACTTTAAGAAGATGTTTTTCCTTTACAGAATTTTTAAAAGAATTCTTAAATTATGTTTTCTTTACATGTACCTCGTTTGCTAGGGTCTAATGATGAAAAGAATTTGGAAAGATTCCAACTGCCAGCCACTGGCAAGATGTCTTTTGTCCACTTGATTTCTTTTCGTTCTTTCACTGACAGGACATTGTGGACATGCTTCCAAAATGGTCCTGGAAAAAAAGATCACATAGATTACTGTTATGTTTTTTTTTATTTTTAAGATAATATATATATATATAAATAACAATATGAACTTGAACTGTCCAAAAGGGACAAATACCCTCCGCTGGGCTTTTCAGAGGAGGTGCCAATTCAACAAGATGCAGGGATTTTCCATCCCATTTTGGGAATGGGGCCCAGGCCCTTCCAACTGGGAATTTTCAAGACATTTTGCAACTCTTTTGGAGATTTTACACTTGCAAGATGTATTTCAATAGATTAATACTTATGATAGTTAAAATTGACTTTTTACTTCATATTTTCAAAACTTTTCTTCAGCAAACAGATCTATTATAAAATTTTGGTGAAGTCTCCAAAAATTATGTTAATTTCATTAAGAGTTCAAACCTGACCATGTTTGTTTTACATGGAATTTTCAAAAATTTAAACACAGACTGTTCACTTTTGGGAAAAATGAAGTGATTTTGCAATTTGGAATGGGGCCCATATTCAGCCCTTCAAGGGGCAGTGGAAAATCCCTGATGTGTTTGTAAAACACTGATGCCTCCATATGGCAACATAGCAAAGATTAAACTTTTCTTAAATGCAAATTTAATTAATTTGTACCAAAAGTAGGGTATTCTCACTGGAAAACAATTGTAAAATTTGAAAGTAAGCTAATGTTAAAGTTTTTTAATAAGTACAAAAATCTCCAAGGTCAAAAGGACAATATAATTAGTATCAAATGAAAGGTCTTGCCATATAAAATACATATGTAGAGCATGAAAGCCCTAACCCTAACCGTTCAGAAGTTAGGGTCAATGTTCTATTTCTTAAAAAGTAGGTCAAAATCCAAGGTCAAAGGGTCTAAGTTATTGTTATCAAATGAAAGGTCTTGTCATAAGGATCAAATATGTAAAGTATGAAGGCACTAGCCCTAACTCTATATAAGTAATTGTCAAAGTTTGCTTTTTTAAAGTAGGTCAATCTCAAAGGTCAAGGTCAAATGGTCAAAGTTCCTGGTATCCAATGAAGGGTCTTTTCACAAGGATTACATATATGAAGTATGAAAGCCCTATCTCTTACTGTTCAAAAGTTATGGCCAAGGTTAAAGTTTTTTCACAAGTAGGGAAATCTACAAGGTCAAAGGGTCAAGGTTGTTGTCCAGTGAAAGGTCTTTTGACAAACATTACATATGTGAAGTATAAATGTCCAGGTGTCTACTGTTCAAACTAGAAATAACCAATAGGAACAAATACCCCCTGCTGGGTTTTTCAGAGAAGGTGCCAGTTCAAAAATACATTATGTATGTCCTATAAATTTTCATCTTTAATTAACTCAGACCTTTTAATTAACAATCAATGGCGTACAGCTGCGATTGGTGTTTTGTGTGGATTGATTGATTGAATATTGTATAACGTCCCTCTCCAGAATATTTCACTGATATGGAGACGTCACCACTGCCGGTGAAGGACTGCAAATTTGGGCCTATGCTCGGCACTCATGGCCTTTGATCAGGGAGGGATCTTTATCATGCCACACCTGCTGTGACACAGGGCCTCGGTTTATACGGTCTCATCCGAAGGACCGCCCCATTTAGTCGCCTTTTACGACAAGCAAGGGGATACTGAGGACCTATTCTAACCCGGATCCACACGGGCGTTTTGTGTGGAAGTTGGGGTGTCAAGGCAAGAAATTCAGGCTCATAGGAAGCAATTTCAGTCATAAGCACAGCTACTTGTATTTTTACAGAAGAAATTGCCTTTTCGACATTTTGAAGGGAAAACTGAAGTCTTTTAATCCAGGGATAGACGAAAGTAATTCATTCTATGAAGTATAAATGTAAATAACATAGTTTATATAAAGCTTTTTTCATTCAACTGCAATATTTCCGATTTAAAATTGGGTCTATTTTATTAATAGATAAAAATGATGCAAAAATATACATGTTTGAAATTTTTCTCCAATCCAGTAATATGTTTCTTTTCTTCTTACATCCATGTATATTTGTTATCATTTTTCTGCTCCCCTACCCTTACGTTTATCACGAGTGTCACGCTGTTGGTTAACTATGACTATGATTATATCGGGAAATTGAATTCAGAAATTCCATGTTTTATTTTGAGTGAATTGCTGATTAATTCAATTTTTTGTCATGCAGGCGTAAAAAATAATGACGTCGCACTAACGTAATATAACATCGTGATGAAAAAATATAATGCTTTTGCTGAAAAATTGTAAAACTTTAAAGTTTTTTTGCAAGAAATTGAGCGAGAACACATGTTAATTTTTTTTTAATAATTCGATTCTAAATTTACTTCACATTCATTGTATCGAGTAATATAAAATTCGTCTGCTTCATTTTAATGTTATGATTATGGTTTTAAAATGGGTATACAGGCAGAAAAAGGACATTTTACTATACATTTCATTGAAAAAGCATCATCTGTTCCCATCAACATTAGCGCATTTGAATTATGATTACAATCTAACCACGCAGACGAATCTCATAAAAATTTCAGAAAGAAAAATTCAAAACGAGAGGAGTTATCTGACAAATTTTTAGCCTATGTTTTCAGGCAGACAATAAACCCGCATTCTACCTTATGTTTCAATTTCAGATAATTAGGATAATGACCTACTTTTCATGCTAGTGGCCCCTTAGTATTTCTGGGGAAATACCTCAATTTTTCACACTATGACCAATTTTTTTTATACACACAAAATATTACAAGCAACTTAACTTTTTAAATAATGAAATATTTTAGCAATGGAACAGCATTGTTTTCATATAAATAAATGATTGGAGTTTGGGCCAGAAATGTGATAACTGTAACAGTCCGAATTTCCTCTGTCATATTTATATTTCTTCCCCATTTTAAATCGAATATGACAAAAATCTGACTGATTAGAACTCTTAATTATCTAAAGCCTCAGATTACCTTTGATGCCATAATTCTCATGGTATTAATATTATATGGGGTCAATGATCAAATTATTGAGACATATTGTCTGGAATGGTTTTTGTACATATTTTTGAATTTCTTTATTTTGTAACATTCAATTATTTGAACAGTCAGGGGCATCATGGAATCAAGTTATTTTTCATAATAACTTGTTTAGGTTACCTTACTTATATATGACTATACAAAGAAGTAACTCATTTGAGTTAATTGAATGCCTATCAATTTTTCTAAAAAAATATCAATATGTTGAGTTTTCTGCTGATTAAAGATGATGCAAGGCTGAGAAAGTTGTAAATATATGTACTTCTTTTAAAAACTCTACAGACTTAACTTCTCCTGAGCAGATTGGATGATATTAGATAAAATCATGATTTTTTGAAAGGAAAAATCAGTTGGTTTTAGGAACATTTCAGGGGTCAATTACACATCTTCCGCCAATTTTGCCAACACTGCGACTAATTTTCCTATAATCATTGGACATTACCGTACAATCTGTAAGTCTTATATTTTTTGTGCAAAGCTATATATTTTTGTGCAAGAGTTCTAAAGTGAGGTGGGTTAAGGATGAAATAACAGAAATAAGTTATTATTTGTGGAATTTTAGTGTCCTAGATTGTAAAGATAGATTACTTTTCCTGTCATAAACCATCTAACCAGTACTTGATAACCCAAGCACAGCATGAATAAAGCTATTCAGATGCCAGTAGGTTTACACTAATAGTAGTAAAGTATCAATAAGGCCAACATTTTTTTATTAAATGGTTTACGGGAATTTTTTTGAAAAAATTGGGTCGGGGGGGATGAATAAAAATAAAAATAAAATTCCATAATCTATGCAGTCGACTAAAAAAATAAAAATAAAATTGGAAAAAGTGTGTGATTTTTTTATTTTTAATAATTCGATAAAAATTGCCATATATATGGTGTAGAGCTTGAAATATGATAACAACAACACAAATATTAAAGTACACTACTAAACCCTTGGGAGAAATGGGGGAATCTTAGGATTTCCTTATAAAAATACTCATTACAAGATGACCAAAGAAAAAAGTTTGCATAAAATGAGAACTTCACTATGTTCAAATTAACCAACAAATGAAAAATGGGAAATATAGTTATAATGAGAATCCGAATAAAACCCAGCATCCTAATTTTAATCTATATTTTACAATACAGCATATGTTTTATGCACGTAATAAAATTTTGAAAGCTTGATGAAGTTGAAAGTATAGACAAATTTGAAAACGGTATATATCGTTTGCAGTATTTATATATCTATTCTATAACTGTTTAACATACACCAAAATACTTAATACGAATTTCCAGTATGTATACACATGTATGATCTTTTTTAAAAATGTTACACACGTTTGAAAACATTTCATGGATATACATGCAGATACGTCACATTTTGTTCTTCACAAAATTCGAACGTCTATTTTCGATTTCCATTCACGTATCACGTCCATCAAAGGTTTCAAAATTGTAAAAGAGAACTACTGTACTTATACGGTACCCCACATCGAAAGTGACTGTCATGTCAACATATTCTCTAGTCATTTCTTTAATTTCGTTATAACTCCAACTTAACTTCGTCATTGGATGTACTCTTATCGATTTTCCTGCTCGCTATGGTTGACTTGCAAAAACGATCGTGAACTATCGTGTATAAGGACGACGTATTCTCAACTTCTGTAAAATTTGACATTTCTGCGTCCATGTTGGCACGTTTTATGCACTTCCGAAACAGTTGATAAGAAACGTAAATTGATTGGATGATAAGAAAGGCTCTCAATACAACAGCCAATCAGAATTGCCGACTTATTTGTACATAATTTTATTTTTTTGGTGCACTTGCATTGACGATCGGCGGGAAATTTAAAAATAAAATCAACAACAGGGACTTTTATTTTTATTTGGTTTTAGCTAAAATTGCAGTCGGCGCTCCCGTAAACCATTTTATTAAAAAATGTTGGCCTAACAGGAATAAGTTACTGAAGAAAAGCATAATCAGGGGAAGATAACCCAAAATGTACACATTTAATAACTTAAACAAATCATTTGAAAAATAACTTGTTTCCATGATGCCCTTGACTGTTGAAATAATTTATGAGCTTTAACACATATAATATTTGCAAAATGATGTTTAAAAATACATTTAACCTTTACTTCTTGATAATTATTGAAAGAAATCAAAACTTTTGACAAAAATGAAAAATTTAGTCCGAATTTCCTCTGCATTACCATACATTGATTTTTCTTTAAATAATAAAATATTAATTTTTTAATTTATTTGGATTTAAAACTTGCTTATTTTATCCATTAAGAACATTTTTTTATTTAACATATTTTATAAAATTTCCTTTCTGTTATTTGAAACCTGAGTAAACGTCATCCTTAAAATGTTTAATTGTTAATGCACTGTACACACAGATGAAGCACAAGGCAGGATAAAAACAGATAGCAAAAGGTCACGAGAGTATCTTCAGGTGACCTAAAAACTGTCCTACGATCATCCTAAAACTTAAATTGACTTCTCCTTACACATAGTTTAAACTATTTCTAGGAGTCTGTGGATAGCTTACCTTCAGATGAGTTTAAAAGACTTACTGAAAATATCTTCCAAGACATGATATGCTGTTATGACATATTTGCTGCCAACTCTGAATCCTGTTCCGCAACTATTATTCCTTGTGAACTGTATGCAGCCTATCTGTTTGCCCACTTGCATTTTGTGAAAAATTTCACTATCAATGTATGAGACACAGTTGTCATCTGTCTTTCGCAATTTTTCACCATGCTTTTTATTTCCTGTTAAAATAAATTCAACATGATTAAAACATGTTAACGCTGATGGCTGTCCTACATGTACATGTTCCTCCAAAAGGCAAGTTATTTTATTGCATATTTAATCTAATATAATGACAAGGGTCATTAAAGAGATGTAAACATGGTAAATGTAAGAAATTACTTTTACATTTAAAAAATCAAAGGCCTGAAGGGCCATAATGGCTTACGTGCTTGACATGGATGTAAAATGTAAGGAAATGTAGTATACTAGCTAGAATATTACTTATGTTTTCCCCAGAAATTTCTGATTGCAAGGGTGGGGGTCACTCAATTGACGGCCTGAGGCGTTTCTTGGCAGTTGAGTTTATTTTTATCTAAATTCATATTTAAACAAGAGGCCCACGGGCCTTATAGGTCACCTGAGTATTGTGTAACAACTTTCAAACAATTAAATTTGGTTTGTGTTTTAAACCAGAGGCCATGAAATTCAATTCACAATCTACAATTTTTAAAGAGGCACAATTGCTTATCATAATTATTAACTTAGCTTACTCTATTTACTTTATACCCAGATGTAGATCAGAGTAACAAAAAGAAAATGCATTTCCATTTTATACCTAGTTGTGTACCTCACCCTAAAGGAACCACTGATCCATGGGCCACATACCAGTATTTCAAAATTTTGAAAATGTTGTCATAAAATGGTTGATTAATACCAAAGAGCAGATTTCAAAGCATTAATTTATTTTCAGACTATGTAACCCCCCACCCCCCTCTGACTCTGGGGGCATAAAAAACACTTTGCTAGATACACTATTCTTCATCATAAATGTATGTAAACTTGGATCATTGGCACAAAACCCAGAAGCAAAGGAAAATATTTTCAAAGAATTAATGTATTTTTATTATATAATCAATAGAGCCCCGCCCTAACACCAGAACACCTAACCCTGGGGCAATAAAATTCACAATTTTGGAAGAGGCACTGTTGTTAATCATAACTATGTGCTTAGTTTATTTAATACCCAGAAGCAGAGAAGAAAATTTTCAAAGAAGTAATGCATTTTCACTATATAATCTATAGAGCCCCGCCCTAACACCAGAACCCCTGACCCTGGGGCCATAAAATTCACAAATCTGGAAGCGGCACTCTTGCTCATCATAACTATGTGCTAAGTTAGTTTATTTAATACCCAGGAGCAGAGAAGAAGATTTTCAAAGAAATAATGCATTTTCACTATATAATCTATAGAGCCCCGCCCTAACACCAGAACCCCTGACCCTGGGACCATAAAATTCACAAACCTGGAAGAGGCACTCTTGCTCATCATAACTATGTGCTTAGTTAGTTTATTTAATACCCAGGAGCAGAGAAGAAGATTTTCAAAGAAATAATGCATTTTCACTATATAATCTATAGGAGCCCCGCCCTAACACCAGAACACCTGACCCTGGGGCCATTAAATTCACAAATCTGGAAGAGATACTCTTGCTCACCTTAACTATGTGCTTAGTTAGTTTATTTAATACCCAGAAGCAGAGAAGAAGATTTTCAAAGAAATAGTGCATTATCACTATATAATCTATAGAGCCCCGCCCTAACACCAGAACCCCTGACCCTGAGGCCATAAAATTCACAAATCTGGAAGAGGCACTCTTGCTCATCATTACTATGTGCTTAGTTAGTTTATTTAATACCCAGGAGCAGAGAAGAAGATTTTCAAAGAAATAATGCATTTTCACTATATAATCTATTGAGCCCCGCCCTAGCACTAGAACCCCTGACCCTGGGGCCATGAATTTCACAATTTTGGTAGAGGACTCAATGCTCATTACATTCATGCCAACAGTTTGCCTGCTTGATGTCCAGGAGTAAAGAAGAAGATTTTTAAAGATTGCAATAATTTTAGTGGTTTTGGCCCAACCCCTCAGGCCCCAGGGGGACGGGGACCATGAAATTCACAATTTTTGTTCCCCTCCATCCATAGATACTGTATACCAATTTTGGTTGTAATTGGTTCAGTGGTTTCAGAGAAGAAGCTGTTAATGTTCAAATGTTAACACACGACGCACGACGACGGATGAAAACGGATAGCAATAGGTCACTTGAGTTACTCAGGTGACCTAATAAAAAATACAAATTCACTAATATTTTTTTTTAAAGGTAAATAAAAGCTTAATATATATTTTGAACAAACTGTCAATTGACAGTTTGTTTTTTTATATAAAGATATCTAATCACGAAAAATTGTTCTAAATTAAAAATTTTCTGTAAAGCCACTGTCTTTTTACAGTTTTATGTATTGTGCTATTTTTGCTTTCTACAAATATGAAACAAATTACAAGAAATATTACAACCTCTAGAAGTTGAACAGCTTCGTAATTTTCTTTTCTTTTCAGCAAGACCTGAATTATCCTTTTTTTTGGCCACTCCTGATTCCAGTTTTCTGGATTCAGTCTTCAACGATTTAGCCATATTTCCATCAGGTTGTGAAAAATCACCTGTAATTATATTACAATTTGTTTTGTAAATTAAAAATTGACATATGTAAATACAATGTATATTAGACAATTTGCTACTTTAAACATTTGTTCCATAACAAAATGACTCAATGTGCATAAGATTTATTACAATTTGTGCATAAGATTTATTACATTTAAAATAGAGGGATTTTTTTAACAAAAGGTGATATTGCAGGATAGGTGATCAAAAAGTTTGCGAACTAATTGAATAACTTTCATTAAAGAAACAATATTTGGTTTCAGTGTTGATTATATTTTAAATTAGTCCTTTCTGATTTTAATGCACATCTGCCAAATTCTGCTCATGCACAAAGGATATACTAGGCATGCAGTCACAAGACCCCCTCCGTAGTGTTCTGTCACAAAAGCCAAAAGATTTTTCTGATTTTTATATTTTTTTCAATGCAAGTTAATTTTTATAACAAGAACAGTTCATTTGTCAGAACTTTGCTATAGAATGGATAATTTAGAATATCCTTTCCAAAAATGAGTATGGTGACAATCAAAACCCAAATCTTCGGTCTCGATAGAGATGTTTATTCAAGGTGGAAAGAGAATGAGTGCCTCCTTTCTATCATATCTAATATGTTTAAAATCTAAAGTCAACGATATCTAAGGTATTTAATACTTCTATTTTTGTTAACATGTTCAACCATTTTTCAATCTGTAAATCTGAGGTATTTGATAACAAATTGCATAATTAAAACACGTTTTTTTAAACTTGCTTTCACTGAGAAACATAACAAATATCATTTTTAACCATCTGCCTTCCTTCACTAAAACAATCAATTCAGTCATTGATGGAATTTATAGGAAGCCTTTAGTTTGTCTCAATCAACTGTGTACAAATTATTATACCTACTGCATAGGAATTTCCAAGATATACCACAAATTTTACAGTCGTTTGTCAAACTTTTTTGATCACCCCTTGTATGCTTAAATAAGAAACTGAATTTCTATAAGTTTGTAATTTTTTAAGTGTAAAAACAGTGATGACAGAGTTGAGTTTAATTCAACTATTTCAACTGTTACAGGAAACATTAATTAGCACCACAAGGTAGATCATACATATCTACATATGATCCCTATAGTATGAAGGCTTATTTTAAATGTGTGTTTGAATTATGTGATGATTTGATTTGTTACTGTCAGTTTGTTTTCAATATCGTACTTGAAACAACCTTTTTTCCCAGTGCAAAGAATCTGAATCACTTCTAACCCTTTGCAGAAAATCATCTGTAAACATCTTATTTTTCACATATACATTTGTAACAACATTTCAGCTGCCGAAAAGTAAGAATGATATGTATTTTAATTAACTGCAAAACTTGCTGAAATTAAATAAATCAGTGGAAGATGTTAGAAAAAATTTGTGTTGTCATCTTCCTAGTTCCAAATACCCATTATAAATAGGGTAATTAATTAGTTTTCTATTGTTTTTTCAATGTAAACATAAAGTTCTGCTATTTCTTTTCCTATAGGAAGTACCATTCACCTACTAATGATCATTAAATTGACTTTTCCTAGTACATGTAGGCCGGCATATCAATTTATAATGGAATAAAACAGCATTCAATTCGACAAGTCACTGGTCTTTGAGAAACTACTTCATTTGAAAATAAGGTTGTCATTTATTCATTGCACCTCTCAATCAGTCTTTGGAATTAGTCCAAACACTGTATTATCAGATACCAGAAAATGCAGATGATTACTATATTAACCTTTCTGGTCTACAGGTGGACTTGTAATAGTGCAGCTTGCTTTCGAGACGGATTGTTTCTTCATGGCAGTCTTTGAATTTGATGTATTGCCTACAAACAAGAGAGAATAAGAATAAACTAGAAAACTGACCAGTCAGCAAGGGCCCCGCCATGGGGTAGAATTAATAGGGTGCAGCTTACGGAATGATAAAAAAATGTACGAATAAGCAACAGCAACTGTATTCTTAAAATTTCAAGATAATTCCTGAGTATTCAAAAACCTGAAAATGATATCCTTGTATTTACATTAGGCAGTAAAAAACAACTTAACATTGAATGTATATTTAAACAATTATCATGATTATGAAGCATGTCATTGTGTTATATAAAATGCCAGCCTTCAATGAATGCAAATATCATGAAGGATTGACCTTAACTTCAAACAAACAGCAATTGCAGACAAAGGGTTTCATTAATCTTAAAGTGACAGATAAAGATAAGCCTACTGAATTTTCTGCAGCAGGCTAGATAATTAATCCCAAGGGATTAATTGTACCTCTCTCATCATTTTCTTCTTATTGTTACAATAAGAACTTTTTTAGTATTAACGATAAAATAGTGTTTTTATACAACTATCCTAAAAATTAATAATATTCTTGAATTAACATAAAGTGAAAAAAGTAAATCAAAAAATCTTCTTTAATCTATTTCTTGTTATAAGAATTAAAAGAAATCATAACTTTTAAACAAAAATAAATTATAAATATTTATATTTAAATCCACATTTCAGAGTGTTCATAGCATTTAAAATTGACGTAACTTCAAAACAAACTTCATTTGCAGACAGAGGTGGTAATTCATCTCAATTTGACAGATAAAGATAATGCTCTGGATTTTCTTCAGGAGGAAAGCTAATTAATCTCAAGGGACTCATAGAAGTATTCAGTTTACAATGGCAACATCTTCAGCAGTTATCTCTCTTTGCCACTGCTTTTGTATATAAAGTTAAGGAATCTACCCCACCACCCCAGCTCCAAACCATGGGACATAGAGAACAAAACTTAGCATCAAAATATGTATTTCTGCCCACTGAAATACCATACCAAATTTGTACTTGATTGGGCAACCATAAAAAAAGTTGCCCATTCATTCTTATGCATAGTTAAGGAATCTACCCCACCACCCCAGCTCCAAACCAGAAGACATAGAGAAGCAAACTTAGCATCAAAATATGTATTTCTGTCTACTGAACTACCATACCAAATTTGAACTTGATTGGGCAACTATAAAAAAAGTTATTAGAAAAAAACAGAAAATTTGTGGACGGAAGAGTGACAGACGGACGGACAGACAGAGTGATTACTATAGGGCACCCGCAAATCCTTGCGGGGCCCTAATTAATTCATTACAGTCATGTAAAACATTTGAAGTACAGAAGGTAGCTGACTCTAGAGATGTCAAAATTCACACAAAAGCAATGAAAGACTGAAAGATTTAACAATTTGTTGAAAGTTCAAAAAATCTCTTTTCCCTGAAAACATACTGTAAATCACTTTTTTTTCCAGAGAACTTTAGTTTCACATAAATATGAGAGACAATGTGTTTGCAGAAATATCAATCTTGCATATATTAACAGATTTCCCCCTTTGTAATACCTATTTTGACCTTGTCCATTCAAAAGGGGTAATGATTCGAACAATGTAGAATCTACACTACCCAAAGAGGCTTCCACATAAGTTTCAGCTTTTCTGGTCCAGTGGTTCTTCAGAAGAGTTTTAATGACCCCACCCTGTTTTGTCTTTTCTTGATTACTTCCCCTTGTAAGGGCACTTGGCCCTTCATTTTAACTATCTAAACTCCCCTTTACCAAAAAGTGCTTTACACAGTGGCTGCAATGTTATTGTTGACAACTTACACGATTCTAAACATTACACGATCTTACACAGTCAGGGGTGTGATTGAAATCCATCATTTTTAAAAATGATGATTTTCAGTCATTAAATTCATTTTTAATAATGATGGAAATTCATTGTTTTTTAGTAAAATGATGAAAAACAGTCATTTCTATTTTGAAATTTATTTTAGAAATAGAGTTATCTCTGATATTAAAAATGACTGAAGACTATGAAATTGTCTTCAGGAATAAAATATGCAAAACTCTGACATGACAATTCACTGAATTTCATGACAAATGTCTGAAGAAAGTTATCTCTCTTATCAGAGGGATATTGCCCCTTAATTCAACTATTTCAACTGTTACAGGAAACATTAATTAGCACCACAAGGTGGATCATACATATCTGCATATGATGCCTTTAGTATGGAAGGCTTATTTTAAATGTGTGTTTGAATTATGTGATGATTTGATTTGTTACTATCAGTTTGTTTTCAATATCTTACTTGAAACAACCTTTTTTCCTAATGCAAAGAATCTGAATCACTTCTAACCCTTTGCAAAAATCATCTGTATAAACATCTTATTTTTCACATATACATTTGTAACAACATTTCAGCTGACAAATAGTAAGAATAATATGTATTTTCATTAACTGCAAAACTTGCTGAAATTAAATAAATCAATGGAAGATTTTAGAATAATTTTGTGTTGTCATCTTCCTAGTTCCAAATACCCATTATAAATAGGGTAATTAATTAGTTTTCTATTGTTTTTTCAATGTAAACATAAAGTTCTGCTATTTCTTTTCCTATAGGAAGTACCATTCACCTACTAATGATCATTAAATTGACTTTTCCTAGTACATGTAGGCCGGCATATCAATTTATAATGGAATAAAACAGCATTCAATTCGACAAGTCACTGGTCTTTGAGAAACTACTTCATTTGAAAAATAAGGTTGTCATTTATTCATTGCACCTCTCAATCAGTCTTTGGAATTAGTCCAAAAACTGTATTATCAGATACCAGAAACTGCAGATGATTACTATATTAACCTTTCTGGTCTACAGGTGGACTTGTAATAGTGCAGCTTGCTTTCGAGACGGATTGTTTCTTCATGGCAGTCTTTGGATTTGATGTATTGCCTACAAACAAGAGAGAATGAGAATAAATTAATTCATTACAGTCATGTAAAACATTTGAAGTACAGAAGGTAGCTGACTCTAGAGATGTCAAAATTCACACAAAAGCAATGAAAGACTGAAAGATTTAACAATTTGTTGAAAGTTCAAAAAATCTTTTTTCCCTGAAAACATACTGTAAATCACTTTTTTTTCCAGAGAACTTTAGTTTCACATAAATATGAGAGACAATGTGTTTGCAGAAATATCAATCTTGCATATATTAACAGATTTCCCCCTTTGTAATACCTATTTTGACCTTGTCCATTCAAAAGGGGTAATGATTCGAACAATGTAGAATCTACACTACCCAAAGAGGCTTCCACATAAGTTTCAGCTTTTCTGGTCCAGTGGTTCTTCAGAAGAGTTTTAATGACCCCACCCTGTTTTGTCTTTTCTTGATTACTTCCCCTTGTAAGGGCACTTGGCCCTTCATTTTAACTATCTAAACTCCCCTTTACCAAAAAGTGCTTTGCACAGTGGCTGCAATGTTATTGTTGACAACTTACACGATTCTAAACATTACACGATCTTACACAGTCAGGGCTGTGATTGAAATCCATCATTTTTAAAAATGATGATTTTCAGTCATTAAATTGAATTTTAATAATGATGGAAATTCATTGTTTTTTAGTAAAATGATGAAAAACAGTCATTTCTATTTTGAAATTTATTTTACAAATAGAGTTATCTCTGATATTAAACATAGGTAATCAGAGATTACAGAGCTCACCTCAACGTGTGTTGTCTTTAAGTAAGGCTAATTAAGTCACACAATTAACCAACAAAAAGTGTACATCCAAAAATGCAAAATTCATGCAATTTTGATACTTTGGAATAGACCTATATAAAAACTAAAAACAAAGTTCTTCATCATGAAAATGTAATTAAAATCCAGCATCTGAAGCAAGATTGAGAGTTTTCATCCCTTGATGCATCATTTAAGCAACTGGTTTATATAAGCCTTATAGTTTCTTGGTGATAGACTTGCACCAATAACTTTTACGAGGTCTATTATCTGGAAAATGTATGTAAATTCAGCATCTGAAGCAAGTCCATTTGTGTGCATCCTAAGATGTATCATCCATGCAAGTTTGGTCAACATAGGGCTTAAAGTTACTTGCAAATGAAACCTGTATAAAATAATTAACCTTTCCACTAATCCAGAAAATGTAGGTCAGATTCAGCATCCGAAGCAAGTCTAGTAGAAAGCACCCTTAGATGTACCATCCATGCAAGTTTGGTCATTATAGGGCTCAAAGTTACTTGGAAATAAATCCTGCACAACTTTAACCTGTTTACTCGTCCAGAAAATGTAGGTCAGATTCAGCATCCGAAGCAAGTCTGGTAGTATGCATCCTAAGATGTACCATCCATGCAATTTAGTCATTATAGGTTTCATAGTACACTGTACCTTGAAAATGAAACCTTCACCAAAAACTTTAACCTGTTCACTCAATCGGAAAATGTAGATCAGATTCAGCATCTGAAGCAAGTCTAGTAGAATACATCCTAAGATGTACCATCCATGAAAGTTTGTTCATTATATATCTCATAGTAACTTTGAAAAGAAACCTGCACCAAAAACTTTAACCTGTTCACTCAACTAGAAAATGTAGGTCAGATTCAGCATCCAAAGCAAGGCTGGTAGTATGCATCCTAAGATGTATCATCCATGTAAGTTTGGTCATTATATGTCTCATAGTAACTTCGAAATGAAACCTTCATCAAAAACTTTAACCTGTTCACTCAACCGGAAAATGTAGATCAGATTCAGCATCCGAAGCAAGTCTAGTAGAATACATCCTAAGATGTACCATCCATGCAAGTTTGGTCATTATAGGGCTCAAAGTATCTTCGAAATGAAACCTTCACCAAAAACTTTAACCTGTTCACTCAACCGGAAAATGTAGGTCAGCATCAGCATCCGAAGCAAGGCTGGTAGTATGCATCCTAAGATGTATCATCCATGTAAGTTTGGTCATTATATGTCTCATAGTAACTTCGAAATGAAACCTGCACCAAAAACTTTAACTTGTTCACTCAACCAGAAAATATAGGTCAGATTCAGCATCCGAAGCAAGTCTAGTAGAATACATCCTAAGATGTTCCATCCATGCAAGTTTGGTCATCATAGGGCTCAAAGTATCTTCGAAATGAAACCTTCAACAAAAACTTTAACCTGTTCACTCAACCGGAAAATGTAGGTCAGATTCAGCATCCGAAGCAAGGCTGGTAGTATGCATCCTAAGATGTATCATCCATGTAAGTTTGGTCAACATAGGGCTTATAGTTACTCGGAAATGAGACCTACACCAAAAACTGCACCAAAAATGTTAACCTGCACCAAAAACATTAACCTGGTCATTCCTTTGCTGAAATTGCAGCATCTGAAACTTTGACTGGTACAATGAAACACACTAGCAACATCTTCCATGCATGTCTAATCAATATAGTACATAGAAGTACTTAAAAAGAAAACTGCTCCAAAAAACTTAACCTTAACCCGGGACGCCGACGCCGACGCCGACACCGACACCGACGCCGACGCCGACGCCGAGGGTATCACATAAGCTCCCCCCAACTTCGTTGAGGTGAGCTAAAAATGACTGAAGACTATGAAATTGTCTTCAGGAATAAAATATGCAAAACTCTGACATGACAATTCACTGAATTTCAAGACAAATGTCTGAAGAAAGTTATCTCTCTTATCAGAGGGATATTGTCCCTTAATTCAACTTTTTCAACTGTTACAGGAAACATTAATTAGCACCACAAGGTGGATCATACATATCTGCATATGATGCCTTTAGTATGGAAGGCTTATTTTAAATGTGTGTTTGAATTATGTGATGATTTGATTTGTTACTATCAGTTTGTTTTCAATATCTTACTTGAAACAACCTTTTTTCCTAATGCAAAGAATCTGAATCACTTCTAACCCTTTGCAAACATAGGTAATCAGAGATTACAGAGCTCACCTCAACGAATGTTGTCTTTAAATAAGGCAAATTCACACAATTAACCAACAAAAAGTGTACATTCCAAAAATGAAAATATTTAAGCAATTTTGATCTGATACTTTTGAAATAGAACTATATAAAAAATTTAAACAAGTTCTTCTTCATTAAAATGTAATCAAAATCCAGCATCTGAAGAAAATTTGAGAATTTTCATCTCTAGATGAAAACTTTAACCTGTTCACTCAACCAGAAAATGTAGGTCATATTCAGCATCCAAAGCAAGCCCAGTAGTGTGCATCCTTAGATGTATCATCCATGCAAGTTTGGTCAACATAGGGCTTAGAATTACTTGGAAATGAAACCTGCATCAAAAAACTTTAACCTGTTCACTCAACCGGAAAATGTAGGTCAGATTCAGCATCCGAAGCAAGGCCGGTATTATCCATCCTTAAATGTATCATCCATGCAAGTTTGGTCAACATAGGGCTCATAGTTACTTAGAAATGAAACCTGCACCAAAAACTTTAACCTGTTCACTCAACCGGAAAATGTAGGTCAGACTCAGCATCCGAAGCAAGCCCGGTAGTATCCATCCTTAAATGTATCATCCATGCAAGTTTGGTCAACATAGGGCTTATAGTTACTTGGAAATGAAACCTGCACCAAAAACTTTAACCTGTTCACTCAACCGGAAAATGTAGGTCAGATTCAGCATCCGAAGCAAGCCCGGTAGTATGGATCCTTAGATGTATCATCCATGCAAGTTTGGTCAACATAGGGCTTATAGTTACTTGGAAATGAAACCTGCACCAAAAACTTTAACCTGTTCACTCAACCGGAAAATGTAGGTCAGATTCAGCATCCGAAGCAAGCCTGGTAGTATCCATCCTTAGATGTATCATCCATGCAAGTTTGGTCAACATAGGGATTATAGTTAATTGGAAATGAAACCTACACCAAAAACTGCACCAAAAATGTTAACCTGCTCCAGAAACATTAACCTGGTCATTCCTTTGCTGAAATTGCAGCATCTGAAACTTTGACTGATACAATAGAAGGATATGGAAATAACGAACAGTATTCAATCTCAACGTCCATTAAACAAATATACAAAATAAGAGCAGAGCAAACACGGACCTCCGAAACATCAGAGGTGGGATCAGGTGCCATGGAGGAGTGAGCATCCCCTGCCGACCGGTCACACCCGCCGTGTGCTCGTTGTCATAATCAGGATATAACGGAAAAAATCTGTGGTCAATTCAGTGTATAAATAATGGACTAACAATTGGTATGAAAAATGAAACACACTAGAACCATCTTCCATGCACGTCTAATCAATATAGGACATAGAAGTACTTAAAAAGAAAACTGCTCCAAAAAACTTAACCTTAACCTGGGACGCCGACGCTGACATTAAATAGACTTTTCCTAGTACATGTAGGCCGGCATATCAATTTATAATGGAATAAAACAGCATTCAATTCGACAAGTCACTGGTCTTTGAGAAACTACTTCATTTTAAAACTAGAACTGTCCAATAGGGACAAATACCCTCCGCTGGGTTTTTCAGAGAAGGTGCCAATTCAAAAATACTTTATGGATCTAGAGATATTCACAATTTACTTACAAAAATTTGCAGTGAAATATAATTGCTCATCATTTTTCTTAATGAATGAAACGGAGGTGCAAACAAATGAAACATCAATACTAATACATTGTAATTCCATTTTAACATTTTTTAAAAAAAAAATTTCATTTAATTTTTCTTTAATACTGCATTAAAATAAAGTGCCACGCCACAGCATGATACGCCCGTCAAAAAAATACAATTACAATGTATCTTAAACAGTTAAAAGTGCAGGAAAATCATGTCAACCTTGATTTTTAGATTTCAATGATTTTTACACACCTTAAAAAATTTGTTTATCTATCTCCTGTGGTGTAGGCATTAATTATTACAAATATTGCATCATTCATAGATTTCTATACCTTGCCAA